TTGATGACAAAAGACCTTCAGTTTTCGTACTTACCGTAAGTTTTCTATATAATATTAATAAAATTTACAAAGTTCTTATAAAAAATTGTAGTTTTTCATATATTTCTTAATATTTATTATATTTATTATTTTTTATAAAAAACTTTTTTAGGAAGTTTATTGAAAACATGATAACTTTTATAAGAAAAGAGTACATAATAATAAATTTCATTATTTTCTACATACTCATGTTATTGTAAATAAAACATAATCATATACTAACCAATAGAACGTCTTAATTTTCTTAAAAAATTTATAAAAATAAGTTTTATTATATACTTTACAATATAATCATATAAAAATTTTAGTTTATATTATTTTTTATAATACAATATATTTTTTATTTTTTTATATCAATCATTGCAGTTAATAGTATTTTTATATAATTTTTATAATATTTTTTATTAAAATATTTATATTTATAAAAAAATTTTTTTTATAAAAGTCACTTAAGGGAACGTGTACATAATAAATATAAAGTTTATTATTTTTCTTTATTTTTACAGTATTCCGCAATTGATAATTATTAATATAATAAAATTTTCAAAAAAATTTCTAATAAATCGTTATTTTATTTGTTAAGAAAAATATTAGTATTAATAAAAAAACCTTTTTTATTAATGATTTATGTAAAAAAAAGTTAGTTTCAAATATTTTTAACTAATGATATTAGTATAATAATAATGGTTATAATAATAAATGCTTTTCGCTACGTTAAAGTTGGTGCTGACTTTATATATTATTACGTAACTTCATAAAAAAAATTGCATACCATACTTGCATGTTAAACGGCAGAAAATTCACTATTTATTTTTAACCGAGACTTTTGGTAGAATTATAGCGAAGAATTACTTTTGTACTAACAATTAGATAGTTTTTAAATAATATTATAATAATAATATTTATAAAATCGTGATGAAAACCTTTTATATAAAACTTTAAAAAATAGTTTTTATTCTTATTTATTTTCATAAAAAAGTGACGTTTATTTTTTTTTTTTATTTTTTAAATAAATTTTCTTTAGATGGATCGATAATAATTGTATTATGTAGTTCTTTTTATTTTATTATTATTATTATTAAAAATTTTATTACTTTTTATAATATATTTTTCTTGTTATCTTATTTTATATTTTTCTACTATGTAACTTTTATATTTTTTAATAAATTATTAATATATACATTTATTCCTATAATTTTTTAATATTTATAATTTATTTTTCTTATTATTATTTATTATAAAAGTTTTTTATTTTTTATTATTTTATTTAGAATTTTATATTTTTTTAATAATTTATTAATATATATTCATAATTATGTTTTATTTTTTTTATATTTTTTTTTCTCTTATTATTCTTCTATCTGATACTAATTTACTATTTAAACTTTTTATATTTATAAGTAAGATTTTAATATATACTATTTCTCTTATTATTTTTCTTATAAATTTTTGTTTATTAATAAATTTTTAATATATATAAAATTATCCATAACACTATTTTATGTAGTATATATATTTTTTAAACGGTTGTGCTTTCTATTTTTTATTCACTAAAAATTTTGCTTTTCCTAATACTTTTTTTTATTTAAATAAATTTAAACATTTTTTTGTTTATTATTAATTTTGTAAATTTTTTAAATTTACTTTTTTCCTTTCTTATTTGTTTATTATTTTTATAAACTTGTAAATTTTTATTTTATTTTTTTTAAAAATATTAAGTTATCTCTTTTTTGTTTATTACTTACTTTTAAAAACAATTTTTTTTTAATTAAAAATAGTAAATTAATATTTCTTAAAAAATATAAATAATAATAACACCGAATATTATTTATAATATAACAACCATAATGCACCTTAAATACAAAATTATAAGATAATATTTTATATACAAAAAAAAAAGTTTTATACAAATAAAAATTAAAAAAATAATAGAAGCAACCTTAAAACTGTTAGGACAGCTCGGGCACCTCCTGCACCCTAAACAAGAATAATATAATTTATTTACTAGTTATTATTTCACATTTATTTTGTTATTGAATTTATATTTTTATATAAAATTTCAGTTTACTATTTCAATAATAATTCTTTTTAATTATTTTCATACATTTATAATTTTTTTATTAAATTTAAAGTTTTTTATATATTTTTTGTTTATTATTTTGAAAAATATATAATTTATATATTTTTTTTGTTTATTATTTTTATAAATTTAAAGTTTTAATATTATTATTCTATTTTTATTTTTTTAACGAATCATAAGTTTTTTATATAATTTTCTTTATAATTATTTCAAAAAATTTAAAATTATTCAATATTTTTATTTTAATTTTACTTTTAAAATTTAAAGTATTTTATATATTTTTTGTTTGTATTTTCAAAATTTTAAAATTTTCTTTTTTAATTTTATTTTTAATTTTTGAAAAATATTTTTTGTTTATTATTTTTATTATAAATTTAAAATTTTCTATTTTATTATTTTACTTTAATTTTTTTGAAATTTTTAAGTTTTATTTATTAGATTCATATATTATTATTTTTTTATAATCCAAGTTTTTTGTTTTTTATTTTTAATTTATTATTATTTTATTTAAATGTAAATATTTATTCTTTTTATTCGTTATTTTTATATGTTTAAAGTTTTTTATTTTTTAATTCGTTATTATTTTTTTTAAATATAATTTTATTTTTTTATTTATTATCATTTTTATATGATCAACGTTTTTTATTTTTTTTTATATATATATAAATTTTTTTTCTTATTTATTATTATATATTTAAAGCTTTTTATTTTTTAATTCATTATTATTTTTTATAAATATTTTTTTTTCTTATTTATTATTATTTTGACGTTTTTTAAATTTATTTTAAGTTTATTTTTTTTTTCGTCAAAGTTTTTACTTTCATTTTTGTAAATTATTATTTTTAAATTTTTAGTTTTATTTATTATTTATTTTTGTTATTACTTTTAAGTTTTTCTATATAAATTTGTGTTTTCAGTTTTTATTAAAATATTTTTTACCATTCCATTTGTCTATTATTATTTTTATTTTAAAATTTTTTTTCTCTTTTTATGTATAATTATATTATTTTATTTTCTTGTTTATTTTTTTATATATTTTTAAAAATTTTAGATTTTAATTAATATTTATTAAATTTATATTATTAATTCTCAGTTTTTACTATAATAAATATAAATTCTTTATTATATGAAAAAAGTATATAGTTTGTATTATATTAATATGAGTTTTTACTATTTCATTTGTTATTACCATTGTATATAAATATTCCATCTTTATATTTAATGTTTTTTATTTTATTAATTCCTTGTTTATTGCTTTCTCCATATCTTACTATCTTTACTTTTTTTACTTTTTTATTTGTTTATTATACTTATTTTTTAATATCTTTTTTATTAAAAGTATTTACTTTTTCTTTATTATTATTCTCGTTTTCAAAGATTTTTATGTCAAATGCTATTCTTTATATTAAATAATTTATAAAAGTTTTCATTATTATAAAATTTTGAATAAAATTTTATGTTAATCATTTGATGTACTCATTTCTGCAAACTTTCAATTATTATAAAGAAACTAGAATTTCACGGAACGCTCAAGTTGCCGCTTATTGGCTAAAAATTTAGTCATTACAAATTTATTTTGTTATTATTTTAGTGAAATATTTTTTTGACTATATTTTCTTATTATTTCTATATCATTATTATTATTACTTATTAATAAATATATATATATTTTATCATTAATTGTCGTTAAACTTTTGTAAAGAAAAACTATCGCTCTACGCAAAATATACTCGACTTTTCAACACTTTTGCTGAAAAGCGCTCAGCGCATTGACCAGCCAAAAACCCTCGTGAGTGCGCAAAAAAGGGCGGGAAAAAGAGTATCTTTGAAAGAATTCAATGACAGCCACGCGCAGGCGTCCTCTATCGCCAAAAAAATAAAGAAATTTTATGCACGTGATACGGGCGCCTTTTCAGTAGCTCTTCTTGTGCGTTCAGGTTTTTTTTTATTTGTTTACCGTTTTTTCCTTTTTTTTAAATATATTTTAGTGAAAATATTATTAAATAAATATTTTATTACTTTAATATAAAAATAATTCTATTTATGTATAAATTTTTTATTTACCTTGTTACTATAGTAACCTTTTGTATTTATTTCTTCTCCTTGTGTTTATGATAACTGTTTGTTTATTTGGTACTTTCAGCCTATCAAATGCGCGAGTTCGAAAAATGTTTTACTGAAGGCAATATTCCATATACTATCATTGGCGGCCAAAAACTTTACGATAATAAAGAAATTAAAGCACGTGATTAACTTGATCATTCTTTATTGGAATCGCCTAATTTATTTTCCTGCAAGGATGTACTTGCTTTTCTGCGATTAGTGGCAAACTCTAGAGACCACGTGTCTTTTGAACGAATCATATTAGCCGCAAAAGGTTTATTATAACACTATTGAAGAATTTCGCTAGTTTTTGTATTTTGCTGACTCTTCATTATTTATTATTACTTTTGGTTATATTCCATTTTTTTTTAATATTTTTAATTTTTTTTCTCAATCTTCATATAAAAATATTTCATTAAAATTATCTTTTTTATAAATAGTGAAAATATTTTTTATATAATTCATTATAATAACTTTAATTTTTTTAATTAAACAATATTCATAAAAATAGTTATTAATATGCCATATATTTTTTGAAAGGTCTCATTGTTGTATTTCTTATATTATATTTTCTTTCAGGATTGGGCGTAAAGTGTTTAAATTTTTTGAATAAACTAATAAACGATTGGTCTACGAAAGATTTCTTGCAATTTTTCCAAACATTTTGGACTAATTATGTAGTTTAATATATTTTTTCACCATTGGAAATTTATTTGCTTTTTTAGCAAAATGATTGGCGTTTTTCGTCTCAACAATTAAAAACTTTAATCTCATTAACAAAGTTACTCGATCATTTACAGTTGCTTTGCATCAATGACGCGCCAGTGTCGGTTATACACGTCAATTTTTTATAAATTTTTTTTTCCCTTTTTACTTTTGATATTTTTTTTATTATAAAATAAATTTTATTTTTAATAATAAATACGCAATTTATTACTTTTTTAACTTTTTTTTAAATTTTATTAGGAAATGCTTCGTGTTATTATAGAAATTTTAGGTGAAGAGGTAAAAATTTTTTTAGTAGATAATATAATACAATAACGACTATAAATAAAAAAGTTTTGAATAAGTAACAATAAAAACTATAAATAAAATATATTTGCTAAACATTTACTTATAAAAGTTTGCATAAATAATAATAATTTAAAGAAAATAACTATTTCATAAAAATTGAAATTCTAATATTAATAATAAAGAATACGAAAAACTATAATAGTTGTGCTGTTTTAAAACTTTTGTAATTAAAAAATATAAAAAATGTTTTTATATAAATAATATTAAAATAATAAATGGAAATAAAAAGTTTAAGACATCATAGTAATAATAAAACTTATTCCTTATATAACAAAAATAGTGAATATGAAAAACTTGGTAGTTGTGTCTTTAATAAAACTTTTGTAATAAAATATTATTAAGTACTGATAAATAGTAAATAATATTAAATATTATATAAACGTACTGGTTTTGAAAAAAAGTAAAGAAAATACTAATAATCATAAATAAAATCAAAATCTATTAATTATATATTCAATAAAAATTATTAAGAAGAAAATTTAAATAAATAATAATTAAAAATAACATTCAAACAATAAATAATTAAGAAGATTTTTATATTATAATAGAAATTTATAATAAAGTATAACAATAATAAAATATTAATATTAAATAAAAAAGATTTATATTTATTATCTAAAATAAAAATATAATGTTTACAGTAAACACAAATAAGTAATAATAATAATATAAAATTAATAAATAAAGAAGACTTAAATATATTATAATAATAAATAAAAGTAATATATGAAAAGATTTAAATTATCTATTAGAAAAAACAATTAATATTTTTTAAAAAATTAAAATAGAAATAAATATTTTTTTTAATATGTTATAAAAATAATGAAACTTGAAATCTGAATAATAATAAATATAAAATTTACATAATAAATAAAGAAAACTTATTATATAATAACAATAATGGAAATAAAATATGTAAATTATAAGGAATAATATAACATTAAAAAAAATAATCAAAACGAATAAAAATAGTAATGGATACAAAATTTATGTAGCAAATCAAGAAAATTTTTATTATATATTAAAAATAACAATAAATTCCTAATAATAAGTAAATAATATCATAAATAAAGAAATTAAAAATTGAAAATTAGGTATAAAGACGAGTAAATAATAATAAAAATATTAATAATAAATAAAGAAAATTTATTATTATATAATATTAAATAAGAATATAATAATAATTAAATTAAACTCAATATATAAATTATAAGAATAAATAAAATATAAAAGGAAAACTTAAAGACGAATAAATAATAAGAAATTTTATTATATAATAAAAATAGAAATGTAATATGAATGAGGTAAATCTAATAAAATAAATAAAGGATAATAAAACATGAAATATAAATAATAATAAGAATATAAACCAAGAAATATTGAATAATTTTTAATAAAAATAATTTTTTAAATTAATATTCAAAAAAAAGTATAAAGAAATAATGAATTTAGGTAAATTATAAAAAAATAATACATAAATATAAATAATGAAGACGTATAAATAATAATAATTTAAAATTTAAATAATAGTTAAAGAAATTTATAATGAATTATAATATAAAAGAAGACATGAAATAAAAAAATTATTAAAATATATAATAAAAAACATGAAATACTACTTAATAAAACACAAAATATTAAAAATTTAATATTAATAAAAAATAAAGCAGTTTTAAAGAAATTATTATAAAAAATAAACGTGAAGTATTTATAAATAAAACAAAAAATATTAATAATAATATTAAATAGTATATAAAAAAAATTATTTTATTATAATAAAAAATGAATCAATAAATGAATATAATAATATTTATAAAATAATATATAAAGCAGTTTCAAATAAATTACTTTAAAGAAAGTAAAACATGAGATATAAATAATTAAAAACGTAATAATTATGAAAAATATATTATAAAAAGATGATGGCGTCCAGCAAAGTGGCTGAGCTTTTTAATATTGCTATAACTTTTAATGACCATTATGAGGTTTTTTTATTATATTATTACCACCATTATTTATTATTATCATTTTTTTAATCTATATTTTTGTTATTATTATTTCTAATATAAATTAAAGTAAATCTTGTTTTTATTATATTAAAATTATTTATTAATATTATTATTATATTATTAAATTTATTGACTTATTTGTTAATAATAATAGAAAAATAAAAAAAATTTTTTTTTTCTATTATTATTTATTTTTCTATTATTATTAATAATAGTTATATATTATTTTTTAACATTATTATATTTATTTTCTAATTTATTATATTTATTATTGATAAGCATGAGCGGATGTGTTAATATTTTTATGATGATAATTATTATCCATTATATTTTAATTTTTACGACGCATTCATATTTTTGCAAGCAGAATAGTAAAGTGAAGTAAGTAAGCAAAGCTGGTAAGTTGGAATAAAAGTTTATTAATATTATTATTATATAACTATTTCCATCCGTTTTCTATTATAATAAGATATGCAATGAAAAAGAGTGCGATTCTTCTAAAGACTACTGAAATATTACAATTTTTATTAAAAAATAAATTCTATATTTTTTAATCTTAATTATAAATATATTTATTTTTAATTTTACTATATAAAATTTTTTATAAATAAAGAGTATATATTTTATTTTTCTATTTATTAAGTATCTGTAAATCTTATTTTTACGTAATAAATTTATTCATTTATTTAATTAACTAATTATTTTATTATATTATTATTATTATTAATTATTATTATTATTATTTTTATTGTAAAATTTATTCTTTTCTTAAATATTCTAAAGTCATTACCGAAAAACTTAAAGGTCTGCAGCTGTCTCGTGCAGGTAAAATAATGATACTTATGATAAAAAAAAAAAACAGTTTCATAAAAAAACCGGGCTATAAGTTTCTAACGCAAACCTCTCTTGGCTCCGGTAATCATAATAATAACGACGTAAGCAGCCCTCAAAGCGCCGTTGCTATTTGCACAATGCACACCTCTAAAGGGCTTGAATGGGGTACAACAACCAATTAGGATTCAGTGTTAAATTTAAAAAATTATAAATGCAGAAGTCGTGTTTATTCCGGACTGCGAGGAAAATATTATTCCTCATCGCAGCAATGCAAATAGTGAGGAGGAACGCAGACTTTTATACGTCGCTTCTACTCGTGCTATGTCGCGCCTGTTTATTTCGTATAGAAAAAAAAATTCTATTACAAACGTATGCGTTTTTTTTCTATAATAAAGTTTATTATTATATATTTATTTACATTAAAAGTTTTCATTCAACAAAATATTAACTTTAAAATTTTTTTGTTTCTAATTTATTTATTTACTTGTCATTCAATCATCATTACTATTATTTAAGTATCCCGCCGCTGCTTCTCCTTTTTTAAAAGAAGTTATTAACGCAAAGTGCGTCAAGTTTTCTTCTTGCAATACTGAAAAGATACAAAAAAATGAGTTACTTAATAATATTATTATCACTATAATATTTATTATATTATTATTGTTTTAACTTATATTTAATTATTATTATACTTTCATGTTTATTGTTATTATTTTCATCACTTATATTTATTATTATCATATTATTATAATTATTTGTTACTATTATTATCATAACTATTGAATAAGTAAAGACTTTTTTTTATTGCTTCAGTTTTCATTATCATTATATTATTTGAAAATACAAAAGAAATAATTTTTTAAACACCTTTAATGAAATTAATTTTTAAAAGTAATATTCAGTAACTTTTTGTTTACTTTTATAATAAAGACTTATATATGTATTAAAAGTTTTTTTGCAAACTTTTTATTTGTATTTATTTTTATATATATTTCTTTTTTTTTTTTTAAAATATTCATTAAAATATTTCGAAAATATATTTTTTATATAATATTTACTTATTATTACTTTTTTATATGTTATTTGCGTTAATGAAGAATACTTGAAGCGCTCAAGGACTATTCAAACTATTATAATAATTCCTTTCAAACAGCAAAATCCTTATTAATAGTTATAATATTATATATACTATTAATATATATTTATAATAATGTTTGTTTTTTATATATTTATATATATACCGTAATAAAGAGTTTCTTTTTAAGAAAATTTATAATGAGGTATAAGAGATATTAAAATAATAATAATAAGTTTTATATATATTTTTATAAACATATATATTAATTAAAAGTTTCTTTTAAAGAAAATATGAGATATAAAGGTATTCAAATAATAAAAGTTTTACTTATAGAACTTTTTTACATAAAATTCTTATATTATAATATGACAGACAGAAATAGAAAAAAAGAGATGTCATGAAAGTTTGAGAATTGAAAATATTATGAAAAACGAATTTTATACGTCAAAAACTATTGATAATAATAATAATGAGGAAAGTAATAATAATTATAATAATGGCAATAACAAAGAAAGAAAGAAACGTAACAGTACTAATAATAATGAAAGTAATATCGAGGATAATAATAATAATAATAATGACAATACTAAAAAGAGAAAAAAGCGTTTGGGAACAAGAAGAAGACTATAGCAAATATTATATTGTTAATGCTGTATTAATAATAATATTATTTTCTATGCTAGCCAATAAAATATTTTCTCGTGCATTACTTTGTTAAATTTATATACGAATCGTATTTTCGACTGTTTAAGCAAGTTATTATTGTGATGCAGCTTTTCGTTGAATTTCTTTATTTTTTTTTATATTAAATTGATAATATTTTTATATATTACGATACTTATAAATTTTAAAAATAATAATAAATTATTTTTTTTGACTGTTTTTATATAATTTTTTATGAGAACCTTTAGGTAATAGTATTTAAAATATTAATTTATTTCATTTTATAAAACTTTATAATTTCATTTGTAATTTTTATATTACAATAATAAAATTATGAATCATATTTTTACAAACAAATTTTTTTGTAACGAGAACTTTTCGTTAATTCTTGTCTACAGCACGCGTAGTATAATATACATTGTTCGAGTTAACTCTAAAAAATCACGTATTCATATCAGTTTGTCTTTTAGGTGCCACGTGTCTAAACACGTGTTTTAGGTTCGTCTCGCACTTCCTCTACGGAACAAAAAATTATCACCTATTATTATTCGCCATATATTATCTCTACCGCCTTCACCCATGCTGTAAAAGTAGAAAAGGAGCAGAAACAGGTTTATTGTATTGCTTTACGCCTACAGTCGTAAAAAAAGGATAAAGTCGAAGGCGCTGTTATGCAAGTATATATGTAGAAATCTCAGAAATCAATAAAATGCATGATTTATTTTTATAATAGACGTTATTGACTGTAATTATCACGAGATGCGCATATATTTATAAAGACGAGTCTGCTTTTTGTACTATACAAATAACATTCACTAATAATAATAATTTTCTTATGAGAAATTTCTATATAAATTCATTTAAAATAACTTTTAAATTATTAAAAATTGTCCCGTGCTTTAGAAGCATTAGCTAAAGAGTTACTTAAGACCTTTCAAGTCGTAGAGAGTGACATGACCCGATATAATAGTAGTTTACTTTTATACATTAATCCACCTTTGAATGGCAACCTATTGAGCTACATAGATCGAAACCATTTGCAGCCCGCCAGGAATAAGAGCGACGGAAGACGCGAATTTTGTGTATATAGGACAAATTTTTTTCGACCGCTTACACAACATGTTCCTGGGGACGACACAGAAACTCTTACGAACATGAAGAGTGTACAATGCTAGGCACAAGCCAAAAGAGGAATCTAACGGTAGCTTTCTTTACTATCACTAAAAGCCCAACCGACCGCAGTTGCCTGGTTAGACAAGGAAGAGCCCAAAATATTTAATTTTATAAAACTTTAATATAATTTTATTTATAAGAATAAAATTTTGTCAAATATTATTATATTTTCAACAACTTTATATATTTCTAGTAATGAAATATACTTATAAAATTATCAAGTTTATCAATTTTAAGTTTTCTTTAAATAATTATTTGAGTTACAGTGCTTTTCTGAAAGCCATTACAATGTTTTTTTTTTTTATGATACCCAACAAACTTTTTTATGTAAAATACACTTTCTTTAAATATTATGCTTTAAACACTTTTGATTCATTATAAAATCGACAAAAATAATTCTTTTGGGGGCAGACATCAATTATAATGAAAAATGTAAATTTTATTGATTATAAAAAATCTCTTTATTGTAACTACTTATTCTATTAATATTCATCATCCATGAAAACATGTGTAACTTATATATATATTACACGTGGCCTTATCATACTTGCTTTCCGCTTTTTGCACGCGTTCATCCGTTTTGTTTTATTTTATTTATTAACATCATAAAGCTTTGAATAATTTTTATTACTTTTCTCTATAAGCTTTTATTTTATTATAAAGTTAAGATGAGGGGGGGGGGATTATTAGCTTATTCTCGAGATGGTGAGACCGCCTTATTAGTGGCGTGTGACCATACACAAAAACATTTGATTCTTTACAAAGAAAGGTAGTCAATTTTTTTTACTGCTGTATTTTATTTACATAAAAAGAGAACTTTTTTTTATATAATAAACTTTTAAACGGGCTAATTTTGTTGTAGTGTCCACGTGTTACGCGCTTTATAAAGCAGGTGTTGAACTGCTTTCCACCTTAAAAACCGCAACACGACATAAAAAAACAATGAAATGAACCACGTGTTACTATTAAATAATTATTTAGTTTTGTAAAATTATTTAATTTTTAAAAAAAAAGAAAATTTAAAACTCAATAAGTCATTAAAACTGTAAAGCGCGTAAAAAAAAATTTGTAAGAATAGTAGTTTATTTAGCCAACTGTTGGTTTATTTTAGAGAACTCGTAATATTGTACCTTTTTTAGTAATCATCTCCAATGAAATTTGCTTAAATTACTTCTCTGTTACTACATCTTTTCTACATGAATTTTTATAAACAAATTTAAATATTAAACTACTAATATAAACTTTAAAAGTATATACAAGAAATTTATTCTGTTTATCATTTTATTATTATTATTAATTACTTTATAAGCTTTACTTTAATATTGATACTTCCATATTCTTATAGTTTTATCGTCTCCACAGGAAGCCAATATATTGGGGACGACCGGATGCCATCTCACACAGTTCACATCATTTTTATGAGCATCGCTGAGATCCATCAGTCTAAAGTTTTCATTTTCTACAGCCTTTTGCCCAGTTTTTTAAGTGGAAAAAAAAGTTTTAATAGAATTTTTTTATATTATTAATAAATTTAAGTTTTATACATAAAAAGGTTTTTAATAAATAAAATTTCTGCTTTTAATATAAAAATAAGTAGAGAAATTGTTTCATATAAAAATAATAATCATGTCAACGCTTCGTATATAGCTACATGTAGAATCACACTTTAAAATTAAGCATAACTACCACGTAGTAGATCAAAAGCAGTTATAAGCTAGTCACTTATCTATTTATATAAAAATTCGTATATATTTAAAGTGTAAAGGTTTTAAAGTTTATTAATAATAAAGTTTTATTTTCCTTCATAATAAATATTTTTTATAAAAATATATTTTTCCGTTAACAAAAAAAATGTAGGAAGTAGAACATTTATATTTTAATCTAAATATATAATGAAATAATAAATAATTACCGCTTTTTTAAAAATTCTAATGAAATTGTCGCCAGCGCCAGTCGATAAAAGTCTATCGTCGATCAGTATATAAAAATATTTTATATTAAAAAAGAAAATCACTTAAAAGTTCATAATATCGATAAGCAAAAAAAGTTCTACTATTCAGCTCATTTAAAAAAATTTAATATTTTATATATATAATTATAAAATAACAAAATAATAACATTAAAGTTATACAATGAAAAATGTTATTAGTAATAATATGAGATAAAAAAGTTATCAATAACAATAATAGAATACGCAATATAAAAGGGTGATAAGTGGATTATTATAGAAGGAGCGATATAGAAAATTTCCAAAGAATTTAAGGTATGCAATAAAAATAGTTATAAATGATAATAATAATAATAATAATATAAAAAATTTAAAAAGAATAATAGTAATTACATATATTGTAATATATAAAATATTATGAATAATAATAATAAAGCCTATTTCAAAAAAAGTTATATAATAATATAATAAAGTCTATTATAAAGAAGTTATAAATAATAAGCATATAAGCAGATAATAAAGTATAAAATGATAATAAAGAACTCATAAAAAAAGTTATAGAATAAAAAATGTATTAAACAATAAGAATAATAAATCTCTTATTAAAAAGTTATAAATAAATAAAAAAGTACTAATTCAACAATAATAATAACTCATCGTTACAGTTCCATGTAAGCGAGTATACAACTCTCGTGTGCAGCCCGGCTACCGTCGCCGTACAGCTATAAGAAGGCTTCCTAAGCGAAGCGTTGGAAACGGATGTCCAGACTTTTAGATTTCCATCCTCACTGCAAGAAACTTTTATAAAAATTAAATTTAGATAATTAATAATATATTAAAAATTTGTAGGGATTTAGAATTTTCAATACCCATTTTGTTTCCTTTGGAATTAAATGAAACTTCCCACACTGTGGATTGGTGGCCTTCTAGAGTTTCATAGCATTCCCAGTCGTATTCCTCTTATAATAACATAATAAAAGTTCGCAATTATAATTAAAATTTTATAACCTTCAGCATAAAGTTTAATAAGGTCGTCGTATCCACACGAGACTAAAATCTAAATAACCAATAAAAGTAATAATAGCTTACTGAAATTATTTAAAATACGAAAAAATGATTTTGCCTAAAAATTAAATCAAAAGAATGTGATTTACAATTTTGGTAAAAATTTAAATTTTAAGTTCAAAAAAAAATTGATTTACAATTTATTTGTTTGGGAAAAATTATCTAAAAGTTTAAAGAAAGTGATCCAAGTTTCAATTTTGTTTTTAAAAAATTAAATTTATAATCCAAAGAAGTTAATCCACATTTTATTTTCTGTTTGCAAAAATTTGGTTTAAAATTCTAAATATGCGGAATTACATATTACTTTTAAAATCCAAAAAAAATTGATTCCCTTTTTATTTTTGTTTGTAAAATAAATGTTTTCTTTATTAAGATTAATAAATTTGGTTAATAATAAAAATAGTACTAAAGGCTATAATATAACTATTTTATGTGTAACAAAAAAATATACATAAAATTTATATTACCGGAGAAGTCGGATGCCACACGACGCACTTCACATCTTGATTATGTTCCTGTAGAACAGAGACGCACTCAAACTCATTATTCTTTTCAACTTTTAATAAAATTATTATTATTACTATTATTTATTATTATTATAAATTACCTGCCCAGATCCAAACGGATTTATCTCTACCACATGTAGCTAGTAACTCTTCTATAGTGCGACAATAACATTAAAATTGTTTCTAACCAAAGAAATGAACCAAATTCTCTCTAAAATAAGGCAAATACACAAAAAAAATATAACGATATATATAAATTCTAACCATATAATAATTAAAAATGGTTTCCCTACCTTATAGTAAAAGCATCATAACTTATCAAAAAACTTAAAAAAAAAATTTTTTAAGAAAAACTTTAAGTAATAAATAACTGAAAAAATATAATTTCCTATGTACATTTAAATAATTTATACAACTATTTTTCCTAAATTATCTGTCAAAAAATTTATTAGAAATTGTGCCAAAAAGTTACCTGCAGGTGAAAAGCAAACACGTTTTACTTCATTTTCATGACCTTCCAAAGCCGCTATAACCTCATATTCTTTAAAAAAAAATTAATTAAATTATTTATTTTGCAGAAGAGAATAATTGGCAATCAGTGTAATTGTTATTCATAATTTCTAATTTCTGCAATATATATACGACCTCCTTCCTCTCTACCCCAAATGCAAGTAGTACCATCAAAACTGCCTATTATTATTATCAATTAAAAAGTAAATTACTATAAAAATTAGGCAAACGGGTTTTTTGAAAAATATTTACACTTAAAATATTAAATATATATATTTATTATTTGTCCATACTGCTTAATTATATATGACAACGTTTAAGTCAAATTTCATCAACTAAAAAAACTTTTTCTCTCAAATTTTTTAATGGATTGTAGATGAGCGAGCTTTAAATAAAAAATACTAAATGTGTATAGCGATTTCATTATTAATCTTTTTAACAGTCATATGAAGTGATCTAAAAGTTTAACATATTCTGAATAACCTTTTAATTTATAATAATAAGAAATCAAGCATTCTCTGAAAACACTCATCCAATAAAGTAATTATTCTCGTTTGTACTAAATGAAAGCGCGATTTCGAATATGAAGCGTTCTTTGTTAGTTTTGCTTTCATATATTTTAATTTTTCTTTCCAAAAAATTCTTTGCTATAAAAAATCTCTAGTAGAGGTCTAAGCTCTTAGAAAATAAGGCAGCACGAAAATATTTATAAATTCCCTTAAATTATATAATTTTTAATTATTTAATTAAGTATTTGAATAAATCTGGATCTCTAGAAACAGCAAGTTGTTAAAGATCTCCTAAAAAGAAAAAAATCGGCCTTCATTTAAATATTATAAAAATACTATACTCGATCTCTTTTGATAAGAAGCGTGATATTTATTACATTAAAGCCAAGTGAAATGTACGGGATTCCCCATAATGCTCTAAAGCCGCTATTGGCACGAACTTAGTTAATAAAAAAAAATAAAGGAGTAAAATTTTAATAAGTAGTTGAAGATTCTATAATTATCGTAAATACACGAAGCAAGAAACTTTCCACAAGGTGACCAACAAACAGATCTTATGGTTTTCGTATGTGCTTCTTTTAAGATTGAAGCACAATCCCATTCTAATTTATATAAAGTAATTATAAAAGTGATTTACGAGGAGTGGGAAAATATAAAGTGTACCCTCCTTTTCAAGATTTAATTTCCAAAGACGTATTTCTTTATCACTGCCGCAACTTGCTAAAATATTACCTATAATATTTATAACAAATTAATAATCTAATTTATACTTTATTTCTAAAACTTCTAAATAAGTTATTATAAAACCAATACTTACGCAGAAATACCGATGTTCGTCATCTATATAATTAATTAAAAGTGATTAAATTTAGAAAAAATATACCTGAAGGATGCCAAGCCACCGCCCAGATGGGACCCTGATGGCCTATTATTATAGTATAAAAAGTAAGTAAAATTAAAAAAAAAATTATTAAAAATCAGTTACTGCCTTTTAAAATAGAGAGTTCAGTTAACTTTCCCATAACAAAGAATGTACTGAAACCCCTCAGCAAACTGTTCTTCCGACCAAATTTTTGCTATTTGCATACCGGAGGTTTCTTGCAGTTTTGACAGTTATGCGCGAGCCTTATAACTTATTGTTATAACAACTATAAGTTGTAGGACACGCTGTGAACTCTACTGCTATCTCTTAGAGAAGCAATTAATATAGAACCGGAAAAGTTTGACGCTTTACTAAGGTAAAGTAAAAAAAATTGAAGCCTTCTATTAACTCTACCGTTAACATATTTTACGTCAGAAATACCAAAGTGGGGGGATCACCTATTATCTTTATTAATTTCTTAGGTACAAAATTATTTGAAAGTAAAGATAAGCAAAAATAAATTAATAATAAACCAAAGGCTCATAAAAACATAGATTGCTCTCTATGTCTCACTTTACATCCTACAAATTTACAGACAAAAAAAGAAAGAAGTTTTAATTTATTATTCTAGAAGTGGAAAAAAATTTATAAGCCAGAAGTTCTGAGATCGTATAATAACTCAATGAAGTTGAAATTAGACGGCTCATATTCACTCAAAAGTTCTTTTAAATTTTTAAAATAATAGCTAAGAGGGTCTCGGGTCATCTTATGGTCTAAGCATTTTCTCAGACTTGAATAGAGTCTAGAAAATGATCAGAGAAGATCAACCTTTGAAAAAAGTCGAGCTAAAATCATAATATTTATATAAACAAAAGCAGTAAAGGATTGACCATTTTTTCTAAGAAACTGAATTCTAATTTATTTTTTTTCTAGTGAAATCTGCTTTCCAAATATCAAAAGCTTCGAGAGAGATGACCTCTAGATTTTATTTTCTTTAAACTTCTGATAAAGATGTTGAAAATAATGAAAGCCTTCTTTTCCCTTAATTTTAATATTTAAGCTCTATAAAGCTCTAGAAGTAAGTTTGGCCGTAGAGTGCCAATATAACTTAACCAATTGCATTTAAGTACCTGAAGCAACTTGACGTCAACTTCTAGGTATATATATATTTGAAGGGGATTATCTATACAACATTTAAATATATTTTTATTGACGTTTTAAATTTCTGAGGACGTTTTCACTTGATTTAGACGAAGTGAGTATTCAAAGCCAACAGTGCTTTTTCCAATTCAATATGAGTATACCGTCTTCTGCCTCTCTTTAAAGTTGTCAATAAGTAATAAAGCCACAAAACTTCTACAGTGAAATCTTTTAACAGAACCAAAAAAAGTGCCGAAGTTATTGAGAGTCCTATGAATTTTTGAGGAGTCGCATATGATTTTATCGTGGTTATATCATAGAAGCTTTGATTTAATAGATTCCGAAAGTATAAGTAGGCTACCTAACAAATTCCTTTACTATTTTCTTGATGGTAAAAAGATAGAAGTCTCTCTGTAAAATGGGACTTTCTGCTAACCTTAAACTTTTATGTAACGAGAGTTAAAAAAACTAATTTTAGTGGGTGAGTGATTACTATATAAGTAGCAAAAAAAAATGAGTTAGTGAAGCAAAGAAACAAATACCTTAAAAGTTTGTTTTAATGCAAATGCTAAGGTGAGCTTTCTTAAGCTAGGCGTCTTTCAAGCCTGTGAAATTAAACTAATTTTATTTACCACATAAAAAAGAATGCAACATACTCCTGGGACACACTAAAAAAAACAATGGAAAGTGCTATATTAGAAGTTAAAAATGAGTTAGAAAAGAAATTATTGGAAATTAAAGATTTTAAGTATATTACAAAAAGCTGTAGGTTAACGATTATAAAAATTATAAATTACTTAGAATCTAAAAACGTAAAGTTGCAGAATTTGGAAGAAAAAAGAATGAAAAATCAAGTTTAACACTCTGTCGTTGGTTCCAATCGGTTTAATACAACCGAGACAGAAGGCAGACAAAACATTTGATTCGCATTAACCAAGGCTTCGTACTAAACGAGTTCGTTATAGGCGACGTCAATTATATTTTTAGTACTGTCATTTTTTTTTTATAAAATAGAAATTATATTTTTTACCTCAAATTTGATCACCAGGAGTCTTTTAAAATCATTTTATGACGTGAATGAGTGGGAAAACGTTAATAATAAGCGGATATATTTTGCATAAACAGTTCTAATTGTTTAATGTATATAAAATATTAAGAGAGAATAAAAAAAATTAATATTTCATTGGAGTACAAAGAAGGTGGGACAGACCAATACGGAAAAACTTTACCAAAAGATTATGTATTGGAAAAGGTGGTAAGGATATATAAAAAATTTTGTCCACGCCAGTTTAGATAAGATTTAAAAGTTAGTAATAGATCTCGAGTCCAGAAAGTATTATAATATTAAGCAAATTGGATTTTTTTATATTTTGCATAGAGCTAAGTATGAATGGGATTGGGCGTTTATTAGATTTAACACAGTTATGTTTACAAACGAACTAAATAAGTTTTAAAATGAAAAAAAAAATTGAAATATAAAATTAGTGGCAGAGCGGTTACATTAAATGGTAGAATATTAACTATTGAAAAGGGTTTAAAAAATTGTACAACGACGAAGATAAAACTAACTTCTGACCCGCTTTTGTATAAGTTAGGGATATGATTTAGAAGTTTGCCTTTGCTTAATGCTGGTCAAAGAGAACGGCTGAAGCATCATAAGGAATTGGTGGTACAGCACGATGATAATTCTTTTTTGAAGGTTAAAAACAACTGGAAAAATGTAAAGATATAAAGAACGTGATGACTAAAAAAGTAGCAACAATTTAGAGTAAAATAATATAAAGTGGGGTGTGATAGAATAGTGCAAATGGTAAATTTAGTACAAAATTGTAAAAACAGTCTTGCGAAAGTGGAAGTATGGAACATATTTGGTTCGTAAAAGACCTCGTATCTATATTAGTGTAATAATAATATTTCTATTGTTGTCAACGTTTGTATTACTTTTGTTATTAGTGCTATTTTTTCAATTACTAGTATTACTGTTATTATAGGTGACATGATTAATAGTAGAGTGATTTATAGTAATGTCGCAGAATACCGCACTGAAATATTGGGGAATTTACTTTTTCTTCTACTTTTAGGTAAGTCTCTTCTGGTCTTGTTTGCTATCTAAAAGTTACTCTATTAATTCATCGACCGAAATAATCAGTTTTTTAAAAACTCGGGAGTGTATTTTTTGGTTTAGTAAAAGCACCAATTTAAAACCTTGTTTATGAACCCGAACTACTGAGAAATATATGATAAAGCAAGTTTTTTATAGCAAATTCCATAAAATAAATAATAACTACAGAAAAACAAGTATTTATAATAAGTATGGCAGTAATAATAGAGTTATGAGTTAATATATCTAGCAAACATTAAAAGAAACCTCTAACAAAATATTCCTGCAGAACTATAGAAATTCTGTTTTTATTGGTTTATTGTAAAAACAGCGCAATAAATTATACAAAACAGGAATGCCAGCGGGCAGGTGAAGCGGTAAGCAAAAGATGAGTTTTCAATTAATAGAGTTTAACGTTTTACTTATTGAGGCCATATTAGTTGCACTACTTTGTCTTCCTACAAGAAGAGTTGTGGTCTATATCTTAAGGCGTATTCCTTATTCAAAAATAAGAATATTTCTGGGCATCTTGTTTACACTGATTTTGTTCATGACAATAAGTATCTTATAAATTTATTTTACATAACAAAACCACGGACACTGACTTTTATTAACTTTAAGAATCGGTCTCAAACTCATGGAAACTTTCGGATGAGGTTCAAAGATCAGATGTTTCGGACCCTATGACCCGCAATGCACTAAAAATTAAGTTATTTAGATCCCAAAGAGACTCGTACCTTAGCTTCTTTTCCTTATATCTCTGTTTGTAAGTTAATTCTTGTGTTTATAAACTTCTTTATTAGCTTATCAGATACATTTTTGTAAATTTTATAATAAATATATTTATAATAGTGTTGCTCACTTCTTGTATGGTTTAGTGTTAGAAAATATTGAACTTCGAGTAAGTCTTTATAAGGCTTTTTTTTTACCAAAATTTTGTTTAACTTCCATATAATTTTAATTTTCCAGGATAAAGTCAAATGTCAGAAGAATAATTAAGAATTCAACAGCGAAGATGGTACTACTAGCTAAAAACCACCATTTTCTCAGTTTTAAAAAATAAAAATTATTACTTTTGATATCTGCTTAAATTGTTCTGGTAGTGAATTATACTGTAGTTACTTCCTCAGAAATTACTTAAAAAAAAACTATAAATTGTATTTTTTAATTGGTAAAAAATTTTTTTACTTAAACTAACTACTAAGGCGAAAAGTTTAAAAGAAAAAAATTTATGAGAGTTGACGCTATGCCTTATAGTTAATTTATTAAGTAATAAACTTTCTTTTTTTTATTTTTGTTTAATAAATTTATTAGCAGCATGATTTTTTTTGAGCACTCGGCGATTCTAAACTTGGAAATTTTATTTTTTCAGTTTCCTAAAACAGCTGTATAAAAAGCTTTTTTAAAAATAAATAAATTTTTTTGCCTTCAAAATGTTATTAAGTTCTTCTTCAGTATTGGACAAATGCCTTTGTGATGCAACTTTATAAACTTCTATAAAAAGTACAAAAGATTCAATTTTATAAAAATTATAAATAAAAATGGTAACCATTTAAAAGATAAGTGAAGGCCTCTTCGACGTTAGTAGAGTCAAGCGCAGAAGTCTCAATAAAAAGAAATTTGTTCATTTCGGCAAAAGCCTAAATAAATATATTTACAAAAACTTAAATTTTTACACAAAAAATTAAAAATACAAAAAAACTTCGGCTGTATCTTTAGAAACTTCCCTGAGATGACGTAAATCACTTTTGTTTCCCACAAGCATCACAACTATTTTTAATAGTAAAAGAATTAATTTAAATAATTAAAATTTTTATAAAACAAAAGACTTTTTATAGTGATAATATCGTAATTTATAATCATGCCTTTTAAAAAATTAATAATTAGTATAAAACCAGTGTTCGGATTAAGATGCTCGCGCAGTTCCTTAACCCATCGTTGAATATGATCAAAAGTGGAACGTTTAGCAGTATCATAAACTATTAAAGCGCCAGCAGTGCCTCTAAAATATATTTTATTTAAATTATAAAATAGTGAACATGAAATCGATAAATAAATAATTTGTAAAATTTATTACCTATAATAAGCACTCGTGATAGCTCGATAACGCTCTTGACCGGCTTTTTAAATAGTTAAGTGATGGGGTAAAAAAGAATTCATATTTTCAACAATATCAATATGGAAAATAAAAAAAAATAATAACCAGTGTCCCAAATTTGAGCTTTAACAATCTTTCCACCAATCTTTATGCATTTTGTAGCAAATTCTACCCCTGAACAATAATAGTAAATATAAAACATTTTATTATAAATTTTAAAAATAAAAAAATTATGTCATTCAAAGCGATTGTATAGTTCACTAAATCACCGATAGTTGAAGCACATTGCATTTGAAATTCATTTTTGGTAAATCTCAAAAGAAGATTTGTTTTCCCTACACCAGAATCCCCGATAATAACAACTATATGGAGAGAAAATAATTGAGATATTCAATTTTTTCTAAAAATTTTACTTTTGAACAAGTAGTCGTAGTCCTCCATTACGATAATTAGAGAGTCACAAAAATTAACCGCTTTTCTATGAAAGCGTACGGTGATTATTGGCTGAGCAATTTTTTTTAATAAAATTTATGAGGGCGAGATGGTATACGTACATATCAAAGACCGAAAAAAGAGCCCCGCCTTGAAAAAATGGTAATTAAAAAAAAGCTTAAGTAAAAAAAAGCAATAAAAAATAACCAAAAAATTTGACTTTGCGCGTCAATACTTTTAAGCGCTGAGTTACAGCGGCAACAGCAAACTTGTTATGAGTTTACCTATTTAACCTGTAATCTTTACCCTAAATATGTCCTTAACTCACTTAGTTGCTACGCGGATATTATTCATATTGTGTTTGTTATGTATTATTTGTAACCAAGACATTTAACAAGCACTTAAGCTCTAATAATAACACAAATATCGTTTTTATTAAATTGAATTAATTTAACAAAAATAATTATTTTTAGCAAATATATTATTTTAGATAAAAGCTGAATGGTCAATATATACAATAATACTTGTATTGGTCGTTACGTGAAAGTAGTTCACCGTTGCTCATTTTGTAACTGACAAGCTGACATAACGTAAGCCAGGCAGCATAAATTAACTGAGTAGCTGGCGCAAAGGTAATAAAAATTCTGGCCGGAGCTCGACTATATTCAATGTTACCTTGGATTTTGTATACTTTAGCGGCTAATTATGAATTGATACGCAGTGTCTTGACAAAAATGCAAGCTTAAAACATAGTCCCGGTGATTTTATATATGTAAATTTAAAAGCTGCTGCTTAAAACTTTTATTTCTTTGTTAATACTAAATAATTAAGAGCAAGTGTTATATGACGAGGTGTTCTAGTATGGTAGTGCTACCTAAAATCTGTGGCATCCCCAAACATTATTGATCACAGAGCAGTCTTTTAAAATTACAAAACTTGTTACGCAGAGTTATTTCCACTAAATCCATATAATTATAGTAACTTTATTAACAATTTTTGAACATAAATTTTATTTTTGTTGTAAAATTTGTGAGGGCTACATCAGTAAATTATTTTAAATTCAAAAAAAATATATATTTCGAAATACAACCGATAAAATGTCTGTATGAGTAACTTTAAGAAATTTAATTTTAAAACCTCTAATTATAATAAACTAGTGAAGTATTTTAACTTTGTAGTTGCAAGTAATTTTATTACGTAACTATAATAGACTATTTTTAGATTCGGCCTTAATTTGCAGTAGATTGTAGTGTTGTTATTTTAATGGGATTTAAAGATAGTTTGAATATTAGTGCTGCATAAAGTGAGTGGTAGACTTTAAACAAAAAGCAAACGGGTACCGCGAGGGATGTATGACTAAAACTTTAGTAAAATGAAAGGATTGTAAAACCGTTTTAAAAAGCGCAGAATGACTTGAAAATTTATTATTAGAGTTAAATATCCAAAGTATACTACTTTTAAAGCAGTCAATTATTTCTGCTTACCTATTGGTTAACTGAATTTCGATTATATATACTTTGGCGAGCAAGTGTTTTAATTGCAGTTAGTAAATATTTAAAGTTTAAATGTTTTTGAATAAGTATTTTTTACTAGGTTAAGAGAAATTGTTTTACTAAAAAATGGTAGTATCAATTTATATCTGGTAACGAGTTAGATTATGTTTTGTATGCGTTGTAACATGAAAGCCATTGTGCAAAACAACAGACTTCAATATTAATAGTTTTCCTTTTAAAATTTTATGTTGGCTTATATTAGAGTTATAGGCTGAAAAGGCTTAATTAAAAAAATTTGATTTAAAAATAACATCACAGACATAAACTGGTTTTATGAAAACCCGGTAAAAATTATTAACATCAATTGTTTACATCTATGACAGGATTTTACTTAAAGCGCCCATCAAATTATTAAAAGTTAAGAAATAACCACGCCAGTTTTTCTAATACAAAGATTACTCTGTTTTATCAGGATTACAATGTTTCAAGAAGAAGCGAGAATCCAAGGCTTAGAATAGAACATACATATAACAGAAGGTTTCATAAGTTATCCTCTTTAAAAGAAAGGTCTTAGGATTAGCTTGGCTCAGTGATCAACAATGGTGAAAATTTTGAAAAAGTTAACGACTAAAGGAACGTGACTTCACTACACAATTAGATAAAAACTGAGACCTTTTTATTTAACAGGAAACTGTCCATCTCTTCTACTACTAACTGCTTTACAAAATATTATATTTTTACCTTTTGAACACCCTCATTGAGAGCATTTCCCCATTGCCATCATATAATAGTAGTACAGCAAAAAGCTAGGCATATGTTAAACGTGTCTTCATATTTTTTTTTTAACTCAAACGCTTTTACAATACTCAAAGGAAGTTTCTATAATAAACAAAGTTAATATAACTTTAAAACACTAAATTGTTAGCTTAAGTTTCTTGTTAAACTCGCTATTTGTAATTCATAAACCTCCAGATCACTTTAATACACTTATCAATGCTTTCCATGTTTAATTTCTTATTACGTCAAAAAAATGGTCCGAGTTAACGCAGGAAACAGTTATTAGAGTTTTAAAACTTAACACGTTCTTTTACATCCTCAGTTGATTATTATTATTTACTTTCCATTCATTTTATTTAATAAGAGATTCTTTATTCCAATATTTATTCGAATTTAGTAAGCTTGTATTACTTGGGGATGGAGGGCTCGAAATAAAGTGCATTAGACTCTAAATATGTTTTAGATTTCCGACCACACTAAATTAGATGCCCACCTTTAAAGGGTAGAAAAGCCTATATACCAAGTTCTTAAATACTTAAAGGAGTCTCAAGACTAGCCCGAATATTAGGGCCTGGGTCTTGTTAAAAAATTGTAAGGACATAAAACTAGACGGCCACAAATTAAAAACACATGGGCAATGTTAATTAGAAAAGGAAGAACAGAGAGAAAAAATATTTTCGTGCTTCACGAGCGTATATATGGGTTGCACTTGATTCAAGGTATAAGGGTTCATCATCAATATGTAATAAATAATATTAATAATAAATTGTTGCAAAATCGCTATTACCCAATATACCTTAAAAACATATTTTGGGGAAATTTAACACCGAAGTACTGGGGGCAGCAATAAAACCATCACCGGGAGAGGGGGCCCTGAGTTAGTAGATCCGAGACCTCCCGGAGAGCTACTAGACAGGGTGCGCTGGCTAGCAGATTTCCTTCTTTAGAGTCATACCTTAGTTTAGTATGCCGTTAACTGCCTTACCAGGGTTGTATTTATACGCCACATTATGCGGTTATACTGATCAAATCTTATGATAGTCTAAAACATGGGACCACATTAAAAATGGAATAGAAATAATTAGAATACAGTATAATTTTTTTCGGTTTAAAGATAAAATAATGTATTTTGAAAAGCCTTAACAATGGGGAAAAAATTGGTTTTTAAATTTGTTACATCATAGGTTTCAGTTTTTATATGTCAAATAATATGACACAATAAACCGATGACCATAATTAAAAGCTTTCTTTTAACGAAAACTATAATCACACAGTAGCTGTGGGCTTGTACATATTTTTTTGATAGGGTTTCATACAATTTAAATTTTTTTTCGGGTAGGTTGATCTTGAAAAAAGGCGTACACCTACAACACAGTCGCCGAAAATAAATCATATACATTTATACCAATTCCAGCAGATGATACAGGCCCCTGTAAACCAATTTTTTTTTAATTTGCACTACAGATATTTAGGGAGTAACTATGTCCTTTATAGTCCCACCCGCTATTTTTAACTCATTTATTTAATCCTGATCAATAAACTAACGAGGTTTAAGAAGTATTATTATAGTAATTATCCAGTTTGGTAATCTCATTTTACTTTTTGCATTTTATCACCCACCCAGCTTCTATTAATAAATAACGACAGAGAAGTATGAACGAAGATAGCAATTTTAGAAGGAAAAAGCTACATTTTAATTTTGTTGTGGCGTAGATGGGAAGTTATACATACGTATAAATATCAGTTAATAAATTTATTATATCAAATCTTACTATGGGTAACAGTTTAGGGTTTTTACCTTTGTTAGTTTAAAAATAATACCAAGCGGAGCGCTTAAATAATTTTTTAGTCGTTATAAGGCTATTCTTAGCGGTACATGCTTTTAATATGTTTTTCAGCGTTATATAACGATCATAACTGCTTAAGGAAAATTCTTAAAATCTTTTTTTTTATTAGGCGAGGGAGGACATAACCCTACCTCTGGCAGGCCTATTATACCAGGACGTCTCTTGGACAGTAAAAATTACTAAAAAATGATTTTAATTTTATTTAATTTATTAAACAAAGAGGTTGACTGGCTCCTCGAATCCGTTATCTTAAAATAAAACGTGGAGCTCTAGTGCACTGGCTAAAGGCATTTCATCCCGTCCGATCTGAGAGGCCAAGTCCCCAGAAACCGTAATTGTGGGTGACCTGGAGGCTAACCACGTACTTGCGCTTTTTCTCTAGAAAGTGAAGCAGTTATATACTCCTCCTTGAGGTATAAGGGCGCCTACTTGCTCCCCAACTAAGGATAAGCGATCTGCGCTCGAATCACTGAGCATTCGCAAAAGTCATTAATGAAATAAAATTAAGCCATAAATATATTTTATTTCTTATCGGACATTTTATTTATATTTATATTATTTTATAACATACATTTCATCTGATTTTCCATTCATAATTATTTTACAATAATTCCATCAGTTTGCCGTTTAGTTTCTAGGTCAAATTAGGATATGTCATGTTTGGGAAGCGCACTGCGGGCCACTGTTGAAGTACGAATTAGCTTTGGTTAACTGGTTACAAAGATGCCTTATGCATATTATTTTGAAGGAATTCTTTTCGTTACTCTTTTTAATAACCGACTTGATTTTATAATAGCAATAGAGTTTTCATCTCATAGGCGAAAAATATGAAATTTAGTTAAATTGTGAGCCCGCTTACTTTATAAGAAAATAAGAAAACTTAAACTCTATAGACAAGAAAAAGACTATTCAGTGAGAGATTTTTCGCCATTTCAATTAATCTATTATTAAGTAAAATAGCTTTACAATGAATTGTGATAAAACCAGACATACTTTACACTCTTCTATAAAATAGGCTTATTGCGATAAACCCAAAACTAACATACTAACCTCGCTAAACAGAACTACCAAATTTTTTGCAAGAACGGCACTAAAATGGTTTACCGAATCCAGCGAGCACAACAATAACTATAAAGCGAATGTTGGCCTGTACTTTTTCAACATTTTACTTAGTATGAAAGGCTAAGGCATATTTTTAGTAACTTTATGCAGTATTAGCATTTATATTAACACCAATTTTAAATAATAACATAAATACTAATAATAGAGTAATAATGACATTAAAAATAATAGCTATAAAAATTATAATATTAGTAACATGGAGCATAATGTATAGTAATAGTAATAATAATAATAAAAGTAGCAATATTATTTTAACCATTGAGATTTATTCATTCATAATGCTCACATCTATCAGGTGGAGAATTTCAGATTTTTTGGAAAGGGGTCGACCCCTTTTAAAATATGGCACACAGAATCAGCAGTTTTAAAATATCTTAAAACATATTCTCTGTAATGTGCCAAAATATAATAAAACTTAAAAAATCATTTGAAAATTTTATCACGATAGTTTTCCGTGGCACACGACGTTTTTACTGAAGAGCAAAAGACTGCTTGCGTTAAGTTATGTCGTGGTTCATATTCCGGTTATTAATGTTTTAAATGATACGTTTACACCATCTTGACTGGTGAAAAATTATATATTTTTATGTTAGTACCATCCTGATAATTGACGTTAATCCACTGATTACGTGTTAAAATATAGAGATAAGGGAGTAGAAGTACAGCAATTTACTAAAGATAGCAACATTTTTTCTCAAAAAGAGATTGTGAAGTTGATTTATCTTTACAACGCCGATCTGTATACAACCTCCTTTTTCTTTCTTCCCTTAAATCTCTTTGCTGATTTACGCATAGCGCGAAAATAATAAAGTTATTGAAGCAACAAACCAATAATTTATTAGTTGAGACTCCGTACAGTCTCTGCAGGAATGTAGTAAAGGATAAAATATAAAAGCCTTTACGTCCCTCTTTGGTTTGTTTTCATAGCTATACGCAACACTCAGAGAATATTTCTCTTATATAAATATTTAAATATGACTACTTTTAGCTTATATTTGTCATGCTTGAAATGTGTGAAGAAAATAATTCACGGTTGATCGTATATAATAAAGTAAAAAAGAAAGCTGCTAACGAAGTATTGAAGATTTGAGTAACAATTGAATTAGCAATGTGAAGTATAATTCATTCGAGAGGCATAAATTTTACACAACTTACTAAAGGTTGAGTTTACAGGTAATCTTATCCAAAATTGTATTTTATTGTTATTTTCAAAAAAAATTGTACACCGCGCTACCTTAAAAAGTTATTAACACCTTTCAAAACTAAAAGAAATGTTATCTCCTAATACGCTAAATACTGATTGTCAACTTAAAAAAATCAAAACAATACCGTCTAATGTAGCCGAGATATATCCCTACTATATTACAATGAGCCTGGAAGGATTGCTAAAATACTCTTTGCCCTTGCATTAGGATGTAGTGATAAAAGGAATGTTGTACTGCAGTTATTAGTCAGGTATTAAGTACTAGAAGGTTTAATTATAAATATTTAAAGCTATGTATATTTAAAAAGCTCAATGCTCTAACGAACTTAAGCCGGGAGATGAAAGATTTTACCTTTCCTCTTTTTTTGACTTGTAATTAAATATCCTAATATGTATTATATTATTACGCAAGCAAAGATAAAAAAATTTAACAAAATTCTGTTAGAGTGAAAGTGGAAGCTGCATAATCAAAAACTACTTGTATGCTATACTATAAACACTAATAGCATTTTCAAAACTCACTAAAAACTTTGTGCTTCATATGATTTAAAGTATGCAAAACAACAACTTTTTTAAGATATACATCGGACCTTCAAAATGTTGTTACTAACCATGATCTTACATTTACTATAAACTATTGACTGCTAAATTCTACGTCGTGTTATACTATAATCTTGTTTAATTTTTTTTTTTAAACCCGTCCCTTCATGTATTATGCAAGTCAATTTTTGAACAGCAGGCACTCAGTTCTTAAATACAACAGCGCACATATACTTAGCATAAAAACTTTAAATGCTAGCGTGGATGTACAGAGATTTTATTTCAAATATGAACATAAGTAGAGATAACCGTTTTCACAGATAGGAAAATAAAGCTTCGATGCCTACTGTTTAAAATAATTATTATGTAAGTGATTAGTAACGCAGCTGAAACAAGGTAAAAACTTTTTATCGTCAAAATCAAAAAGAGCGTTATATTAATATAATGGAAAGTTTAAAATTATAAAATATACTTTGCAGTACTAGCGTAAAGAATCCGAGCCCTAGATTTACCCCGGTGTTACTGCTTTGGTTATAGAAACCTTTTTGCTCCTCCTATTCTAGTCTGGAAATAACTTTATAAAAGCGTTACAAAAGTATAGAATTTTCGATACGCAGAATAAGAAATATGCAAGAAAAGATTAAATTACGTACATTTTTTAAAAATTGTTACCTCTTTTTTTAATGTTAGTAGCGTATACTAAAGAAGTTAAAAATTTTATAAAAATTTTCTTATAATGCCTCTAATAAATATATATCTGGACTCTGTGGTGGCATATCTGGTAAAAAAAACAAGGAGCCCTTTAAAAACTCAGTTTTTTTTCATAGAAAACTCTAAATAACCTACCTTCTAAAAAAGCGGGGACTCACGATACTAAAAGTAATATAGATTCTTCTATACAATGAATGATCTTGTAATGCCTTTAATTGATTGTTTTTAACTCTTAAAAAAATTTTTTTTTTGATTGAAAAAAGTTTAGTTATTTCAAACTCCTAAACAAAAATTGATATTCCTTGGCGGATATAATAATTCTAAAAAGATAAAAAAGTTAACTGCTTGGCGTTGTCAAAATTCGAAGATGCTTATAACTTTTTATAAATGAATGCTTTAAAAAACATCAACTTAAACTTTGTACTGAAAATGGATGTGTAGCTTAATCCTTAACTCTCCCTACTAACTTCTTTTTCATCAATTAACAAACATACGATTTATAGCCTGTATAAGCTAATTTAATATTAAAAATTATTTATTTATATTTTTCAATTCTATGGCTTAATTGAAATATCATCTGCTTATTTACTTATTCATTATAACTAAAACATTTATTAGTAAGCTTCGAAAACTAGCCCAGTATATATAAAAAAGAGCTTGTTACTTTCTTTATAGATTATCTCTGGCTAGCAAAATGACAAACATGATAAATATTTTTTTAATTATGTAGAAATATTATCTAAAAACAAAATTATGCTTTATAAAAAAGGCCAGAAAATAACTACAAAACTAATTTTCATACTAATTTATTTTTAATAAAAGAAAAAGTACTCTGATTGGTGGTGACACCAACTTTAATTAATTTTTCGAATCCGTTTTTATTTAACATCGCAAAAGATTACTATAAAAGGTAATCCTTAAAAGAACTAAAGAATTGATTGGCTCTTCGAATTCAATTATTTAGCATAAAGCGCGAAGTTTTTATAATAAATCTGGTCCTCAAGCTTTATGCTATTATTTCTTTTTGCATATTTTTTAATCTATTTTTTTATTGTTAATATATATTCATTTTTTCAGTTTGTTATCATATTTTGCTTAAAATTTTTATTATTTTCTTTATAAACGTTTAAATTTAAAATAATTACAGAAGCTTTGATTACTCAACAATTGTTATTATGCAATAATTTACTTGAATCTAAATAAAATTTTAATAAATTTACACAAAAAAATTAAAATTCCAAAAACTTAATAAAATAAATTTATAATATATATTTATATTTACTTTATTTATTAAAATATAAATTTCACTCCGTCCCTAAAAATCTGTCACCGAAATTTCCTACAATAATTATATAAATTTTTATTTAATAAAATTTTAACGAAAATAACAATTTAATAAATCATATATAAAATTATTATCTCAATTTAATAAGTTTAATCGGAAGACACCTAAACCGGGAATAATATGAAACTTTTCATTAACATATTCATCCACCGCAGTCGTCACAATTTTTACTTTCGAAAATGCATAAGCAACGGAGTGGATGCCTGAAATTCGTTAAAATAACAATAATAAAAACCTTAAAAAATTAATATTTACAACTAAATCGCGATTGTTCATCATTTTTTATAAACTAATTTTTAAAATCAAGCAAAAAAGAAAAATTGATTAAATACCGGCTGGCGCAGCGATGATGCTTAAAAATATTATATTCTCTTCTTTAACATCGTGATCTAATAAAATTCTGATGGCCATCTTTGGCAAATCATCATTTACTATTAAAAAAAAATTGCATAACAAACTAATGCTGCGGCTCCTGTAGCGATTGTGGGATCCAGTAGAATAACGTTTTTATCTTTTATATTTTTCGGCAAGCAAAGATAATGAAGCTGAAAGAAAGTAAAAGTTTTATTATTACTATTATTATTTATAAATAGACAGTATTCTTACAGCGGGTTCCTCAGTTACAGGATCGGTTTGAATTAATACTTTTCCTATTAAATAATAATAATAGTTTTAAAATTTTTATAGATATAAAAAAAAATTGGCAAAAAAAAATTCTAAAAAGAATGAGTTTGGCTAGCCTATAGGAATATCCTTGCATATAGCTCGCAGGGAGGACTCCATAGTAACACCAGCCCGAATAATAGAAACTCCGCAAAGCTTATATACATAATAATAATAATAATCATAATAATAATAGTAATAACACCTTTTCAGTCAGTTTAAGTCCAGAAAACTCTCTTCCGCGATTGGTTACAACAACTTTTGTTCGGTACGGAAGTAAGCTAATAACAAGCAATTAAAAATTTTTACTTTTACAAAAAAAAATTAATAAAAAAAAAACCTTAAACAAAACTCAGCAGCCAATCGCATCAGTCTGTTAGAGTAGAACACAAAGTCGTCACGTGGTGTTTCTTTGTTCCGTATAATCGTGTGAAGCCCCTCGGGATATAAATATTTATTATACGAAACGCCTTAAAAAATATTTTTTTTATAAAAACTATTATAATTATAAATATAAGTTTTATTTTATAATAAAAAATTAAAGAACTTTTTCATATATATAATTCTATAATATGAAATACCTTTATTTGCTTCGTTTCCGGAAGTAAAAATAAACTATTCGGAGACGTTTTATCTATATAAAAAATTGTTAAGTAAAAATGTGATAAATATTTAAAATAAACAATATATAATGTTTATTTAAAGTATAATAATAATAATAATATAAAAAACAAAAACTTTGATGAGCGTTTAACAGTTGCTCCCTGAAATTAAATCCTCTACTTCGCATCTGCCGTTGCACCTGTTTCACTATCAGATCAATAGCAACTATAAAAAAAGTTTTATTAATAATAATACTTTTATAGAATTAATCGGGAAAATTATTTTATATTATTATTAGTAAAAAAATTTTTTATTAATAAATATTAAAATCAATGCATATTAAAGTAAATTCTGAAGAATGATATAAAAATAAAATTCCTTTTAAAAAAGATTTTTAAAATCAGATACTAACAAAAGACTTTTATATAAAATTTTAGTATAAAAAGGCAAAACTGATTCGTTTAAGGTAAAACAAAAAAAAAGTTTACCAACATTCTCAGCGCCACGAGGAACAACCATGTGCGCATATTTTATGGCTGGAAATATAAATTCGTCAAAAGCCGGTTTTACAAAACGATTGTATTGCTAATAATAATAATATTAATAATATAATAGTAAAAGAAAATAAAAAAACTTTAATAACGCCGTGTATATCTCGACCGCGCTCGGTAATGTCTCTTTTCACTAAAGAAGAGTAATAGTAATAAAATAATAATAATACAATATAATACTAATAATTATAATGAATGATACATCGTCGGGCTAAACGAATATCAGAATCGGTATCGACGAAAATAAGCATATCCATCAAATCTCTTATTTCTGATAATAAAAATAAAAATAAATAAAAAGTAAAAAAGTATCAGTAATTCAATAATTATAATTAAATTTCTCATTACTATAAAATTCAAAATTTTCCAAAAAAAATAGTTTTATTGTAAGTTTAAAAAGTTTTATTATTTTAAAAAAAACCCTAAGTAATAATATATTATAAACTTGAAAAGGACAAATAAATATACTTTTTGAATAAAAAGATAAGATGCCTTCAAAGATTATAACGTTTGCCCCGTAAAGTTTCTGAGTTTCTTTAGATCTTCCAAAAAAATTAAAAAAATATAAATTCTTTTATAAATTTAAATTAAAAAAATAAAACAGAAGAAATCGGGATTGCTACGTAAATGTTAGCATCCCTATAAAGAAAATGCTTTTTTTTTTTTAGAATAAATTTCTTTACTATACAAATTATTCGCGAAATCAAAACCAGTTATGAATTATTTAAATTTAATAAAAAAAAATCACGTAAAGCATAGATTTCGTATATAAAAAAGGTATTTGTCTTAAAACCTTTCAATAACCTACTAATATAATATTAAAAAAATTATAAATTAAAAATTTTAGAAAACTTTTCACGCCTTCACATACTTTTTAAATTAATTAAAAAAAGAGAAAATTTTTATAAAAATGATTTAGAAAATTATAAAAAAATTTAACTTAACAATGATTTTTAAATAAAATTTCTTAAAAATTTTAAATAATAATATAATTTAAATAATTAATAAATTAGTTTTTTATTTTCGTGTAAACCTTAAAGGAACTTTAAGGTATAAAAGTTTTTATAAAAATAATTAAAAATAAAATTAATTAACACCAAAATTAATCTTTATAATATTTTGCACAATAAATAGTATAAACAAGAAAAGAGTTGTACCTTGAATGAGTTTTGAAATCATAAATCGGAAGTTCGACTCCTTTACCAGATTTCAATTTTCTAAGAACGTCATAGCAAAGATCAAAATCAAAAGCATCTGTAATAAAAATATATAAGATTTTACAGTACTTCAAAAAAAATTGAAAATAAAATACGAAACTAATAAATAAATTATTGGATTCAGAATTATAAATAGAAAATAAAATTGATGCTACCAAAGCAAAAATAATAGCAAACTTTAAGGGTAAATTTTCTAATAAATATTTATTCAAAAAAGCGTTAGCACAATTTTGAATATATTATTATGATATAAAAATTATATACATATAAAAAATTATAGTTAATAAGATAAATCAAATTAAAAAATTTATTACTCGGATGATCAAAATCGTAATTGTTTTCTTCCGCTAAAATTTTCTCGTTAGGGGTTAATTCTCTATAAAAAGAATCCATAGACATAAGCACAACCCACGGAACACCGAGCTCCTAATGAAAGTATAAATAAAATATATTTTATTATTATGTAACGTATAAAATATGAAGAAAACTTGAATAATGGACGTTGCCACTGTTGTTTTCCCGGAAGCACTTCCGCCAGTAATTCCTATCAAAAAGGGAGAGCAAACCTGCCCCATAAGCAAAGTTTACGCGAGCAATTTCTTGCTGGTTGAAAATTTCAAAAAATTATAGAAATTTTTATATTAAAAACCTCTCCAACATGGTTGTACCACGGGGGTCTCCCAGCGGTAAATATTATTTTCCGACCGCTTGTTGATAGATTAAAGAATTGTTTTCTAATACATCAGAAGCGAACAAAAACTTTTTAACCTGCTAGAAATTATTTTCTTCTCTTTTAAAGTTAAAGTAGGAGTGTTACCGCTGGACATCTCTTGCGATGTGTGTCCGCTAACATCCACTTCTTGCTTCACTGATGTAAGAGAAGGAGTCATTTTAATAAGGGAAAAGCGTTACAAAGTTAGCATCTAACCTGGCTCAACGCAACACCATGCGGTCTTTTTTACAAATTGTCCTCAGGATTTCAAGTACCATTAGGAAATTACCTTTTAAATAACTTTTTTTTTAAGGTTTTTACTAACCATTTGATATAGTATAGTCGCTTTTCATTTGCAGCATATTTATTATTCTATATATTTTACTTTTTGAAAAAAATTTTAATTCCTTTTTCAAATAAGAATTTTTTGGCGGTATGTGCCTTTTAAACTATCTAAGCTTTTATAATCGATATACTTTTTTTTTTTAATCTAGTTTAATAGTCTTGAAATTATATATATGTAAGCTGTTTCTAATAGAACTTTTAATTTTATTAAATTCTAAAATACTTAACGGTGTCAAATGTTAACTTAAAAAGGTTTACTTATTGTATATTTCAACTTAATATTAAGAAGTATGGTTAAATACTAGTTACCATTTATAAAACCTAGTTTTAAAATTCTCCCTCATCTTGTATAGCTTGATAGCTTATATCTTTTTTTCTTATTATCCCTGTTATATTAAATATATATTATATTTGTCTGACCGATTTTCAAAAAAAAAGTATTAATTAGACGAATTGATTGAAGCCAATTGAACCATATATTATAACAGTCTTAGACGAATTGATTGAAGCCAATTGAACCATATATTATAACAGTCGTCTACCTCTCTATTATAATTTTTCTAATTAGATTAAGTTTAGTTATTTAATTTTTTAGAGTAGTTTAATGCTTATACTGTTTGTAATGCCGTTCTTGATATGTATGCTATTTAGCTGTTCATGAAGCTCGTCCGTTTTTGTTGACGGCCCAATAACCCACATCGCGCCCTCACTTAATAGGACGAAGCTAGAATAAGTTCACGCTGTTAACAACCAGTATGCTATCAATAAGTAAAAAAAATAAAAAGGGGCTTCTGAGTTATGCTTATTCTCTCTTTGATCGGGAGTTGTGTTTTATTTTTAGTTCTTTTCTATTTATTCTTTCTTTTTATCTTTTTTTTATACTTTAAATAAAGGCATTTTTCGGATTAAATTATTTAATTTAAAAGAAGAATATCTCGATGGGGCATCAGTAATAATAATAACCATTCGTAATATTCAGAAGTAAAAATTTGGAGCGTGATATTAATTATATGATAAGCTAAAGGCTGGTCTTGTGAAGATAACAACCCAATTTCAACTAATTTACATGTCACAGCATAACTGTCATCTTTTATGAAACTGGAACGTAATACTAACACTTGGATCTTTGCAAATTAAAGATTGGAATTATATTTCGGAAATAGATTCCATTTCCTGGAAATGGCTAACCCTAATCGAAGTATAAAGTATAGTTTACAGTTTGGAACCATAACCAATTTTTGATTCAGGGGATTCCTTGGTTCCTTTGCACCTATCTCCTAGTCGAATGGCTAAGTGAAATACTTACTATCTTTATCTTTGTACGTATATCTTCTATATCTTATAATTATTAGTAAAATATGTACTTTTGATTGCTCTATAGGCCTATATTATAACGGACCTCCCTTTTTTAGGATTTATAATATATTGTATAATATACCTATACAGGATAAATTTTAATAAAATCAATGATTTCTCTGTTGCTTCCTCAAACTATTGTTTTGGACATGATTTTTTTAAAGCTAATAGTTAGCTTTTAGTTTAACTTTTATTTCCAATTTTTAAAGAAATCTTAAAAGTTGTGTTATTCCTTTGTTTTCTAAATTGTCTTTATTCAGTTTTTTCCTAAGCATCTTCGCTCTACAACGAAGTGTTTTGCCTTCTCGTCAAAGCTACCTTAATAATCTCCATGACCCTTAGGCAACAGCATTAGTTTTGGAATTTTATTGATCAGCCAGTTGGAGCATATCTTTCGTTGTACGCCTTGTTAAACTCTTTGAAAAGAACGGAATTATAAAAAAAAAACTATTTTGCAATTCTTTTTCAGCTATACACCATTGACAACTTTCGAGTTTTTGTAAGGTCATCATGAATATTGTAACGTTCCAAAGCTCCGATCTTGCGGAAGAGGTTCTTAGTATCTTCTATAGTATTACTGGGATAATAACCGTTCTACCTTACTATTATACCCTTTTTCGCTCCTGACTGGTTTGCTGACATTTGAACTAAAATAAAGGGTTTACAACAGCCTTAAACTTTTGAAGTATCAATATATTATAACTTATGAAAATTACCTAATATATACAAACATAACGTAAATACTTTTAATAACTTTGAATGTAATAGTTGCGCTGCAGTGGGTGAGTCAACACCGAGTTATAAAGCTCTTAAGCAGATTAATAGCGCACAATAAGTTTGAGAATATCAAAGAAAATTTCTTAGCTGAACTCTAAGCTTTTAGCCTTACTCATTATATAAACTGTTTCTAAAACAGGATAGATTTATATTTAAAGTTCCCCTAAGCGATATAAGGAATATAATTTAAAGTAATTCACATAGTGGACCAGCCCAAAGATAGAAAACTCGATCAAGTAAACAAGCAAGCTAGTGATTGCAAGCTTAAATAATCTTGGAATTACATAGTCTTCTACTAAATTTTATCTTAACTGTAAACATTTATAGGTTTATTAAATGAATCGCACGAGAAAAAATTTATTATTATTATTTATTATTTACTTCACTAGACCGCTGAAGCGTCAGTTCCTAAATATTTATACTAAGAACTAGTTTTGGACAACCCACTAAAATAAATTATTTTACTAATGAGTATCTCTACTGTCTGTAAATTTAAGTTATTTAAAATTATTGTATATATTATTAGTTTTGAAATAATAAATAATGAGGACTAACGTTAAAAAGATGCTAATTGGTATTTTTCTAATTAGATTGCCCCAAAGTTTTAAATTAGCGGGAAAAAAGCTCGAGCCCAGACTTGCTACAAGCATGATTTACAATCAATTGCTACTTGATCCAATCCCCCAGTGAAGGAGGGGAGGCCATGAATTTCTTTATCATCTATTGCGCCCTCAACGAGAATGGATGTGCTTTATCATAAGAGATCTAAAGTGCTGAATATTTATAAAAACCTTCCCTAAGAGAGGCGATAACGGTTCAAAAAAAAAAAACGTCAGACCACTTCAAATATACGAGCTCCTAATCGGGAATTGTCGCCCACTGGGCCGTAAGCACCCGTAAATCTTTCAATGTATGGCCGTCTCGTGGGACTGAGGGGTAGCGGACGTGTAACAGGCTCAAAACTTCCGCCATTCCACCTAGAAAAGCCACCACAGGGGAACTTCGAGCACTACACTTGAGCCTCCTACGGACACCGACCAGCATTGCTGCTGACCCGGTTTCCCACCCAAAATTGTGGAGTATATTATCCTTATAGACTGGCCGCCTGTTCAGATATATTGCTTGGAGGAATAATTCACCATTCAACACAGTTCTTCAGAGTCATAAAAAGATATATTTGTTCTTCTATCAAAAATAATATATTTGAGTACAAAAATATGCCCTTAGCCACCTAATACCCTATAAAATTAAAAATGCAAGAACAAATTAGTTAGGTAACGAACAGAAAGATAATTTGATTAAGTAACATTACTTTAAAAAAACATTAGCCTCCATATAACCCGAAACTTTACGAGTTTCCGTTAGTGCCTACACTAAAAAGAACAAAAAGTTTACGATTTTATTTTTGCAAATAGGTTTTTTTAAAAATAAAAATTAAATTTAGTATTAAAGTCTACACCTGTTAAATTAAATAGCTGCAAAAAAGATTATACATGTGAAACACTATTATGACAATCAAACTTCGAGGCAAATTAAAAGAAGGAAGGCCTGCAGTGCCGAAACAATGAAATTAAAAAAAGTTAATTTTTACAAGCCTTTGTAAATATTAAAGTCTCCCGTATTTTAGTTTAAAATAATCGCACGACGAAAAATACAGTTAACACTTACTAGTAAGTTAATAAGAGTAAATAAGGTTACTTAAAATTAAACTATTATAACTGCAAACACCGATTCGGCTTTAACCAAACAGACAGCTGGGAAAATTTTTTCCAAACATTTAACGCTTATATATACATATATTGCCAATATTGATTTTACTTCGAAATGTTTAGTTTCTCTATATTGAACCAACTCTCTTTATTACTTATTAAGAATTTATGATTCCTTCTTTTTTTAAGCTTCTATAATACATAATTTAAGTCAATGTCGAATCTTAAATTTGTTAAGCGTTAGTATCTTTAGGTACTACTTCTAAGATCCCTTTTGAAAATGGTTTTTCTCCGTGGTGTCCATCCCACTAAGCTGAAAGGCAACTGGATAGAAGTCAGAAGAGTTTTGTTGCTCCATTAGTGACACTTCTTTTAAGCAAAGTTTTTTATACGTCAGAATAGTTTCTTTGACTGTGCTGCAGTTTTTTGAAACTTTTTTTTTTTTGAAATATATAAAGGGCAAGCAGGTATTTTGCTTTAAACTTTTTAGATTATATAATTAGGACATGAGGTCTTCGAATCGCACTTTTTCAAAGTGAGTTTAGTGTCATCATACTTTCTTCTGCTTCTCGAATTAATTTTAGTTTCATTTTGTATTTTTAAGTGTTTGGAAGAATCAGTGTTATATCTTATAATCTCAATTGAAATATTTAACTATATTTTTTTTATATAGAATATTTAGAAAGACATACTTTTAAGTTTTTAAAGTTATTTTGGTAATTATTCGCAAATATACTATTACTTTATTAAGTTTTTAAACTAACATATATATATATATATATATATATATATATGAAAATTTCTACCTAAATCGACGTTTACATATTATCTTATCATGATTGTAAGGCTTGCACATAATTTTTCATTTTAATGCTCTTATTTATCTGTAAGCATAATGCATGTGAGTAAAACTATTAAATGTTAATAGTAAATCAAATTTACTTATTATATATACTCAAACGGATAATATTATTGAATATTATTAGTTATGAAAAAAAAAGTTCCTCTTGCTGAAAATAAGACCTTTACTAATCGGAAAAACCAAGAAGTACAGAAAAGAAAAAATAAAAGAAGTTCAAAGACAAGTAGAAAAAGAAGTAAAAGTGTACTTTCAAGGAAAAAGAAAACCACTAAGTCTACTAAGAATAACAATAAAAACTTCAACTCTTCAACTATACAGAAGACTTTACGCAAAACTTACAATAATACTAAAAATGATCTGGTGATTATAACATTTGGCCTACATATTACACCTTATAATTTTTATTATTATTCAAATTATTGTAATTTTTTAAGCAAATAAGCCTTTTTTAATCAAGCTTTAAATAATAGCCCGTTAAATATAATGAAAAACTTTGCAAAAGCTTAGATTCTCACATGCCTGTTTACCAGTCATTCTACAATGGTAACTAGTTTTGGGCTTGCATTTCTTCTTTAGTTACCATTTCGATAATTATCATTTTTAAATTTTTTATAAAAATATATTAATATAAATCTAGTAATTTATAAGGCTGGAATGATAAAAAAAATATATTATAATTTATTTTTTTATTTTTAAGTTTATATTGTTTTCTTTTTATTTTTTTATTTAAAATCTCACTCCTTATATAACTTTGTTATTTTGTTAGATTAACTTTTTTTTTAGATCCTAACTTTTTGTCAAAATATGTAGAAAGCTAACACTTAAGTTTTTTTTTCATTTATAATTAATTTCTTTTAACTAAATAGAAATTACTATCTTAAAGTTAATCTTAGATTGTTGTCTTCAAATTGTTTTATAATGAAAGTTTTTCGTATCTTTGCTTCATTGAGGATAACAAATAATTTATATAGTAAATTATTTAATTTAGTAATAATTTTATATTCTTTTTTAATTTATTAATTTTTAATTCTCATTTATAATAAATTTCATTAATATTTTGTGTTTATATTTATATAATAAATTTTTAATTTGACCTTTTTTTGACCAGCACTAGAGAATTTAAATTTAACTGCATGTGCCATTCAGATTTATTATTTCTTTTAAAAACTTGTATTTTTTTTGTACGGAAAAAAAGATTTTTTTTCACTTTCAAGATATTAAATTTTTCATTTTTATTTTGATGGTTTTTAGTTAAGAAAAGGACGTTTCAATCTTGTTATTTAAAGTATTTTCTATAGTGATTTGGTATTTAGGATTTATTACAATAATTTTATACCTTAAAGATGACTTACGAAGATTTATAGATATAAATACGTTATTGTTTAAAATTAGTAACTCAAAATTTACTACTAATGCAGGTAATTTTTTTTAAAATTTTTTTATTTTATAGGAATGATTGCTCAGATTAATAATAATAACCAACTTGTTTTATTAAATGCCGGCATGCAAACTCAAGGTTTTTTTTAAAAATTTCTTTATATAATTTATATTAGAGATATTTATATATTGAGAATTTACTAAACAAATTATTCGTATACCTGTACAATAATTTATAACTAAAGTTTCCTTATAGTAAATTTCGTATAAAATTATTGAGGCAGTAATTGTTAGTAATGTTTTTAAAATGTTTTATTAAGGCTGGTATCTATTCCTTTAAATAATTTACACAAGATTTGCAAGAAATTATTATAATTTTTAAGAGGAATGCCGTTATTTTACACATAAATTTTAATATTAAAATAAGTTAAGTTTTGAAATTGGTTACTACAAAGAAAAACTTGTCATCAAAATTTTAGTTGCTAAATAAAATTTACTTGTAACAAACAACTTAAAAAAAATATATATATAATTTACAAGTAAATCTAAATAAATGATTGAAATTTTTTTTTAGAAATTTAACAATAAACTCTTACTAAATAATTTTTGTCAATTTCCTAAATTGTATATTTTTTAGGTTTAAATTAATAATTATAATGTATAACAAAACAATAAAAAATAATGGAACTTTTATTCTTTTAAAAATTTATGAATAATTACATTTTTAAAAATAATTTAAAAGAGGTTATTTTACTTATTAGTAAAAGTGGACCATAACTTGTAATTTAAGACTTTCTTATGAGCATTGAATTGTGATTATTAAAACTTTTCTTTTTTACTAAAGAAAGTTTGTGAGCACCAGAAAGAGTGCAACCTGTCAACAAAATTTATCGGCCTTAAAAATAATTATATGAAAATTGTAAATTTAATTAACTTTATAAGTGAAAAGTGTTGCGAATTGTAGTGCCAACTGAAGTAGAAATAAAATCCCCCTTCGAGCTTGAGAAATTTTTATTTAATGTAATTTATAAATTAATTATTATTTTAAATTGGAGCCAATTTTTTTTGTTTGACAAACGGTTTACTTGATTTATTTACTTATTAAAAATTACTTTGCAGTAAAAGAAATATTTGTCTACTTAATTTTTTTAGATTATACGCATAGACATATTTACTTTGCAAGTAAATTGCAAAATAAAACTTTGATACCAGTAGATTTTTCTAAAAAATTGCTAAAAAAGCTTAGTTTTTCGTTTACGGTTTAGTAAAAATCAGTTTATATCTATAAATATTGCAAGCAATTGCAAAAGACATCTTTGAATTAAGTAGATTTTATAGATAAATTGTATTAGCATCGTAAGGAATTGTAGATTTTCCTTAATGTCTTAATAAAGTATAACTTTTATTTTTAATTACTTCTATTAGAGTTTCTTACATTGACTTTTTCAAGGTCAATTTTTTAAGGCAGGATTAATTACTACAAAACAATTTAGATTCATTTTGTAATATATTATCCCTTTAATTTTTGATATTGATTTAAGAAATCGTTTTTTTATTTCATTATTATTCGGCGTTTTCAAAGTTTAATTGTAGCAATCTTGAATTTTTTACAAGCTTGTAATTAATGGAGGAATTATTTTATTTAAAAAAATATTTTAATTGGGACTGCCGTGTTTTGCAGTAGAATAGTTTTGTTAATGCTATTATAGTAACTTTTGCATTCCCGCTCATGACTTTTTTTAACTTTCATGAAAGTTTGGAGCAAAAATATTCACAATTTTTTTAAAGATTTAATTTTTCTGGTATTGGAATAATAAATTAAAAAAACGAGTAGATCCATAGAGAGCTAAATAGTTTGAACTTCACGAAGGTTATGAAAAAAATTATTGTTTAGGATCACTTTTCTTTTGAATTTTTTAAAACTATTTCAGTCAATGTAAAAAAATTTTTTATAAAGATAAAAATTATAATCATAATTTGTAAAGTGATTTTCTAAGGAACGCAAGTCAGTACTGTAGATTTTACTTATTAACGTTATTACTTAGTAGGAAGTTAAGTTTGTATATTTCGTAACTCTCTACTTGCACTTCTCGAGAGCTCATTATTTCTACTTTACATATAGAAATTTGCCTTTTTTCTTTTAAGATAATTTTTCAGAAATATTTTTTTATTGTAAAGTTTAGTACTATAAATATAATTTTTATCCACAAGAAGAGATCTGCTTATTGAAAGCACACTGCATCATATTTCATACTTTCTACAATAAAAATATTCATTTTTTAATATTTTCTTATTAATAAGTTTATTACTCTAAACATATTTCCTGTTTAAAAGAAGAGTTCTGTTTTTTAAAAGCGCATTGCTTCTTTTTTTTTTAACTTTTAACTATAAAATTTCTTTTTTCTTATTCTTATTTAAAATTTTCTATTTTTACTCTAAACACAATTCTCCTCTACAGGAGAGATCTACAGCTTGTGCCTCTCGCATGATAATAGTTTGCTGGCATCTTGCAATACTATAGGAGATATTTCTATATGGGATCTCGAGACTTACCAACTTTTACAGCGTTGCCGTGACGAAAAAGTCATCTTTTATTATAAATTTTTTTCATTTATTTTCCTAATTTACTGTTTCTTTTGTTTTTTTTAGTATTATTATTAATTTCAGTGAACATTCTACTTTTTAAATTTTTTTACTTAATCTCTTAATTCCTTCATCTATAAATATCACAAGTTATTCTTTCTCAATTGTTTTTTTTCTAAATAACTATTTTATAGTTATTTTTTAGCTTTAAGAGTAGAAACTTATAATTTCTGATTTTCTTTGAATTTGATCCAAATCATTCGCTCGACCTTACAATATTTTAAACCAACTTTTTTACGTATTTATATAAAATTTAAAGGAAGAAGAAATTTTTGAATTTTTAACGCTTTCATTTTCTTTAAACGATCGCTATATTTTCGCTGGAGGTATTTGTTATTGTGCTTTGCCTCTATAATAAGGTTGTTAATTCTAACTTAATGGAGGTAATAAAAGCCTTAATTTTATAATCAATACTTTTTTAAATAATCTACACAACATTTTAAGCTTAAGCGGTACTGCTTATACTAATTCTTTTGTTATTTATTTATGCGCATTAAAAAGTGAAGATGAAGGTCTTTTGCTGTTTAAGTAATTACGGACACTTAAATAAAATACAGCGTAGGACGCAGAAATTTAAGTTTTTTGGAGATTATAAAGTAGAAAAATAGTTTTGACTACTTTTCCTTTGCTGCGTTTACCACTTGTAAAGCGTAATTTTATTAAATGATGCATTAATCTATATAAATGAAAGTAGCAGTACATTTAAGTTATATATACATTATGTTATCAGTGACTTCCAAAGTTATTATAAGTGTTTTTTTTAGTTATTTATTATATATATTTATTAGCCTAATGAAATAATTATATTTACATTGAAGTATAAAAAAGTAATAGTATCGGTACATAAAAGTTATACATTATTTATGTTTTTAAGACGCTTTTGTAGTTAATATTAATACCTTTTTATATATAATTATTATGAGAATAATTTACTAAATTTATAATAACAAAATTTAATCTACTATAAATAATAGTCGCAGTTATATATAAGTTATATCAAGCCGATACTTTATTCTAATTATTTATTAGAGTAGTTTACTTTGAGTTATATATTATTGTTTACTTTTTTATTTAAGTCGCCGTTGAAATTTAATATTTTTTAATAAAAGGAAAAAGAAAAAACAGAAAAGTATGGAGCGTTGAAGATGACGATAATGCCATTCTTCCTTGTCCTATTAAAATTTTTGATGTTTTTTTTTATTGCGATTTATTAATTTTTAATTCTAAATTTTAATTTTTATTAGATTCTTGAAAATCAGTGCGTTGGGACTTTGAGCAAACATACTGAGGAAGTTTTATGCGTCGTTCCTTTCATCTTTAAGAATAGTAATTATCTACTAAGCGGAGGCCAAGATGGGTCCATAGTAAAGTGGTTTATTAAAAAAGATTGGAGGTTATTGAAATAAAGTTATAAAGATATTACCTTTTTATTTATTCATGAGATTTTTATATTGTTATTGTTGTTATTATTTATTGCTTTGAAAGATTTTTATTAGTATGAAATCATTATTATTATTTATAACTTTATGAGATATTTATTAATTTGAAATTATTATTATTGTAAGATTTTTATTATTATTTATTACTTTATTAAATTTTTTTAAATAAAATTATTATTATTACTAATTATTACTTTATGAGGTTTATTTAATTTAAAATAACATCCTTATTTTTACTTACTGTTTCTTTTGGAGATTTTTTTTAATTAAAATTTATATTCCTTTCATTTTACTATTTGGAAATTTTCCATAATTATATTCCTTTTTACTATTTACTACTTTATGGGATTCTCTTACTTTAAATAATATTATTTATTACTTTATATAATTTCTTTATTACAAAATTGTTATCGTTATGGTTTATTAGCTTATGAGTTTTTAACATTAAAGTTATAATTCTTGTGATTATCATTTATTACTTTATGAAATTTTTTAAGTTTGAAATTATTTCCACAATTATTTTTTTAACATATTTTTGTTTAATTTATATTCACTATTATAAATTATTTCTTTAAGATTATATAAGTTGATTATATAATTTTTATTATCATTAATTATTTTTTTAAGATGTTTTCAAATTTTTTAATTAGAATTATTACTAATCATTTTTTTTATAATTTTTTATAGTGCATCTACTAAATTAGAGAAAATGGAAGATGAAATCAGTTGCATGATTTTTGCTATCCAGTTTGTTCCTCGCAGCGGAAATAAATACTTTATAGCCGCCTGCGATCATTCTTTAAAAATTTTTGATCTTGAATCTCGAAAAGTTAATTTCATTTTTTTATAATTTTGAGTTATAATATTTAAATTTTGCTTAAGTTTTTTTTAAGGTTTTAATTTATAATTATTTTTTTAAGCTTCTTTACTTTTTTTACAGGAAATTGCGAAATTTGACGATCTTTATTCGTGTTACTGCGATGATGTTCTTCCTGTAGTCTGCCCGAGCTTTATAAATTTTCCTCAGGAAGAATCTCGACTGTGCACATGCTATTTATTGACGCGTGGCGTTGAAGATGTAAATGAAGATGGTTTAGGTATAAGGCAGAGTAGTTTTGCTAAAAAAAAGTTTATGACTTTCTTTATTTTAATAATAATTACATTTTATGTAAGTAATATATAAATTTATTAAAAAAGTAAGTTTATGATTTCTTTTATATTAAAAATAATTAAACTTTATATGAAAATAATTAGTAAATTTATTAAAAAAATTATAAATTATTAAATTTATTTATAAAACGAATTTAATTTAAGTTTTTATTATTAGTATATAAAAATGCGATCAGGTTTTGTTTTTGTTTGTAATATTTTTACTTTTACTTTACTTTTATATAATTTTTTAATTTGATTCTAAAGAAATTATAGTTAAACGTTCCATTTCTTATAATAATAATTAATTTTATGTAAATATGCAAGCATTAAAACATTTTGCCTATTTTTTTTGTTAATTAAAATTTATTCACTACTAGTAATAAAGTTGTGATTATGTTTATAAATTGATGTTATTTTATTGGTAATTTTATTATAAATATTTTTACTTTTTTTTATTTAAGGAACTTATATTTAAACGATATAATATTTTATGAATAATTATATATGATTAAAATTTTTCTTATAAATTTTTATTTATAATTAATATTTCTTAACACTTAGTATCAAAGTTGTAATTACGTTTGTTAATTGATATTATTTTACTGGTAATTGTATTAATATATTTTTACTTTTTTCTACTTTATAAACTATTTGTTAAATTTATAAACTTTAGATCTTAAAGAACTTTTTTTTCAAACGTTCCCTTTTATATATAAGTTATTTTAATTTATCTTGCAAGCTTTAAACAATTTTTTATATTTTTTATTATTGAATTATTAATTGAAGTTACTTTTCTGTTATTTACTTTTTATATTTTTACTTTAATTAATTTTTTATAAAAATTTTTAAATTTAAATCCAAAAGAAACGTTATTTTAATTTTAATCTCAAATTCTTTAACACCAACTTCAGCAATTGAGGCCAACAAAGTCATCTTGCATAAATTATTACCTCCTGAAGAACCGAACGGAGATTGGGCTTTACTTACTGAAAGAATTTTCGAAGATGAGCAGTATTTTTTCTACTTTTTATTAAAAAATTTAGTTTTGAAATCATATAATTGGTATTATTATAAATTTTCGATCGGCTTAGAAATTTAAAAATTATATAAAAGTTATCAATTTAGGTACGATTAGTAGTGAGAAAATTAATTTATAGTTGAACACTATTTTTTATTTTTTATTTAATTTTTTTAAATTATATAATTACATTCAAAAGAATTTTAACGATTGTCAAAGAAAATTACTGAATTTTTAATTTAAAAAAAATTATTTTTAAAATAAGTTGATTAGGATTTTATATATTCTTTCGTATAAAAATAATTGTATAATTATCAAATTTTGGTTATATTTATTTAATATAATAAAGTTCAAGTTATGTTTAAAATTTGTGAAATTAGAAATTATCATAATCTGAAGATGAAAAGTATTTTCTAAATTTTTTAATAAAAATCTATTTAATTAAAAAATATTTAAAAATAATATAATTTCATTAAAAATTTAAAAAAAAAAAAAAACAGAAATTTTGATCATAAAAATTAAATTGAAAAATTATTTGCTCATTTAAATACTTTCAGTAGATTATACTTTTATTTTCAAATCCTTTTTTAATTTTTTTTAAAATTATTTAGTTACTATGCAAACTCTTATTTGTGCCGGCTTGCGACAAACGGCCTCTATGTGGCAGCTCCCACTGTGACTGGCAGTGTTTTTATATGGAATCTACTTTCTGGCCTAAAAACCGCAGTCATAAAAGAGCCAAATGCTGGTGTCGTTTTTTATTTAATTTGTGTAATAAAATTTTCCTTTTTACTATTGTTATAATTAAAATTTTTATCTTTTTTATTTATTATAGTTATACATAAATTTATTTAGTTTTTCATAACTAATTAATTGTTAATTCGGTTGTAAAAATTTAATTTTCTAATTTTTATTTATATTGTATTATATTAATTTTTATTTGAAAAGCCGAACGGGAAGTTAGAGACATCTTGTTTCATCCTTCAAGAAATCTTTTATTTATAACTGGCGACGGTTAAAATTTATTATAATATTTGAAAATATACAAATTTACATTTTAAATATTGTTTATTATGAAAAATTTGAATAGATAATTTTTTTAATTTTTATTAATTCATAATTTTGCAGATGGCATCATACGTGTTTACAAATCAGAAAGTTTATGATTACTACAGCTTTAGAAAAAAGTATACAAAAAATCTAGTAGGCACTTCCAATTGTAAAAATATAATTAAAAATTTAAAAAAATCTTAAGGCCTGAAAAAGATTACTTTATATATCTTATTAATAAACTATTCTTTTCGTCATGATTTTTTTATTTTGAATTATTGATTCAAACTTTTCATATTGGACAAGAACTTATTAGTGTATTCAAAGTAAAGTAAAATTTAAAACTAAAATGTTAAAGTTAAAAAAAAAATTAATTTTTAACTTAATTGGAGCTTTACATAAACTTATTTAACCGAACACGGCAGGCACAAAGGTTTATTAAAATTTAACTATTATTTTAATGATAATGAAATAATAAATAATAAAAGTTTTCAAACGCTTAAAATATTAAAAATAATATTTAAATCTATATATATATAAGTAAAAGAAGGGGAAAAAATATTGTAAGCTTAAAAAAATAGAAAAATAATAATCATCAGAAGCAGGGGTATATAGTAAACTCAATATGCGCTAGATTTAAACATAAAATTATTTGCTATTATTGCTTACGTGTTAAATGTATTTTAGAAAGCTTGAGTTATAAATGTTTTAAAATAATTTTATAAACATATTTAACTGAATAAAAAAGAAATTTGAAAGAAAATAAATTTAATTAAGTTTCGTTGTCTACTAAAATAAAAAACTAACATAATTTTATAAGAATTTTTAAGAAATATCAGAACAACTTTAAAAATTAAATGTAACTAAAAAACTTTAATTTCTTTTAATAAATAAATTTAAAACACTACTGCATAAATAAAAACTAATGATAGTTTATTTTTTACTAATGATATGATTAAAAATACGGTAGCCTTAAGCCGAGAAACTGCTATTATTCCAATTAAAGTTTAGTTGTGTTCCTTTTTTTAACAACGCGAACCACTTACAATTCTTTTATCCTATTTAAAAAATATATATTAAATTGGAAAGTGTTCCCAAAAGGGGAGTTGTGTAAATTCTATACTTAAAAAATTTTAGGATTTAACTGGAGTGGAACTTCTTAAAAGAAGAGCGAATTTGACCGTTTAAAAAATAGCTTTTATTTATTTAATTCTCGGAAGGATCTGCTAACATGATATATTTCGCGTTTTTGCTACAATTGAATAGTATTCCCAATGTCGCTTTTCGAAAGATAATATAAAATTACCACGTTTTTAAATCAATTTATTTAATAATTAATTCCGTCAAATCTGGTTTCGTATAAAATTAGCTTTAAATTCGTTCTGTTTTATTTTTATCACAGGTTATTACTTTTGCGATTTCGATTTATTATCTCTGGACAAGTTACAGTAAATCTGAACCTTTTTTTGAGTTAAAGAAAAGTTCTTTACTAAATTGTAAAAATGTTAAAATCTAAACGAATAAAAGCGTTTTGAAAAATTATCTTAAGCAACTTTTTTTAAAATCTTAGTTTATCTAAATCGAGTCTAACTGTACTACCTAGCCAAAAAAGTTATATGCGTAGAGTTTTATACTTTAACTTTCAAGTTCGTTTCACAAAATTAAGTCAATACCTTGAGAATATAGCTAACATCGATAGAACCAGAAGAAGATAAGGAATAGTTATTTTACTAGCTACAATATGTTTTCAGTAACATTAATATTTGCATTTTTTACTTTTACTTTAAAGTCTGTTGCTAATATAGCAAGGTCGTTTAGTTTTAAAATCTAAAGTAGGGTAAAAAGCAACGGTTGTTCAGGACGGATTTTGTTTATAGGCTACTTAATACATTAGAGGTGCTTTAAATAACAACAGAATAATTAGAAAAATACCCAACCAAGTTACGTACGAAAGTATAATAATATTTATTTTTTATTGCTAAACTAGAAGGATTAAGGCTGGTAAGAAAAAATTGACTCTTTTGTATGACTCCGAAGAGGAGTGTTTCTACTGCTTACTGGTGTGCAACTGAGTAACAAGAAAGCTTTTCAGGTAATTACATGTAGTTTAAAACTCCTTCGATAGTTTTTCTTATTTACGTTTGTAACGGTTAACGCGTCCACTATCTACATAACCGAACTTAGGCATCGTGGTGCAAAACGTATACAGGGGCCATTGCTATCTAATAAAAAGCAAGAACTAGCTTGTATAATGTTGCAACACTTAAATATTAAGGGTTTATACAGCGTTGTGTAAACAAAATGATATACCCCCGACTTTTAAGTAGTGATATTTTATACTTATTAATCAACAAACCTTTGCGGGGTCACAGTTTTAGCTTAAAGGGGCTGATGAATTTGCAGATTTAAAAAGGATTGAGGGATGCATTTACATATTTAAAAAAACTGAAGGGAAAACTAGTAAAGTTCTTGCTCTTATATTCTCATGATCCGGAAGGGTCGTTCATCGACGAGAGGTGTTAGCTAGTGAAACACTAGTGTTTCAGTACTTTTAAAAAAAAAAAATTATTAAAGAAAACTGGCGTTATTTGTATATTGTATTTTTGGTAATTAAAGGAATTGCGGCTGTATATATGGCATTAAACTTAATACCTCTTAAGTGAAGATGTTTGATTTTACTAAAGTAGTCGATTTAGAAATAGCTATATATTGGGATATTTTAAAAATGGATATAATACAGCTAAATTAGTGGTGAAGTATGTGTACACACTTTGATAAATAGTGTCATTTTCTAGTTCTGTGCGACCTTTAAAACTGAAGATAAAAGAGATTTTATAAAGAGCACATACTTAAAACAATTAAATATTATATTCAAGTAATACTTCAATAAAGTTAGATAGGTTGAAATTATAGATGCTTATAATAAGTATGCTGTATGCCTGCTATAAAAAGTTTTTAAAAAGATTATGACTAGAAAAAGAAAAACTATAATAAACGATGAAGACCAACTACAAACTATTCAGTTCCGTATATTAAAGAACTCTATTACCTAGAAACACTCTAACTTCTATAATAATGGAAGTGTGACGCTTAAAAGAAGTAATTGCAAGCGCAAACTTAGCGATGAACCAAGAACTTATAAAAATAACAGAATAACGAAAAACTTACGCAAAAGCCAAAAGCTCAGATTAAAATTTGTTGTACATTTAGAAAAACGTACTTTTTTGGGGCGTATTATTGGGATTTATAGCACATTGAAAGGAATCATTTAGGTTCTTTATATGAGTGCTACTATCCTGCAACACTTATGCACAAAACTTTTGTTTTATACTTCAAATATCTTACCATAGTAACTAAATTTTATTGAACACTTTAAATTTTCTTTCTTATAAATTTTATTTACAAGAACCATTATCTCTATTTTAAAAAAATACGTAACAATTCTCGAGGGTATTATATCATTAAAAATTTAGGAGGGGCACTACAAGGAATTTATTACTCTAAATCTTCGGAATGTACCTGAAATTTAAGATGAGATTGAGGTTTTTTATTACTTCCTTTAAGCCTGTCTTTTTATTTTATTTTACCTTTTTAGTAATTATAAGAAAAATTGATTATAATAGAGCGACACTGGATTGAAGCTTTTAGTTAACAGCATATTTGAGGTAATTTCATGGCAGACGTAACACGAAATTAATATAATGTAAAAGTTTTTATGTTAAGAACACTTATTGAAGTATTAGGGAATTAATTGGTTAAACGACAAAATTAAAATAAACTTCTTTTCAGGAAATAAAATAGTTGTATATAAATATTATGTTGCTTTACCGATTAAATTTCTTACAACTCATTAGCTCCACTTATTATATTATGATTGTTTAGAAAAATGTCGCTACTAATTATATAAGAATTTTTTTTAATAATCACTCGCTAATGATACCTCAAATTCTAAAATTTTAAAAATTATATAAAAATGCAGACTTTTTAGAAAAGAAGAGAATATCTTTATAAAATTAATATCCAATTGACTCTATTAATTACATAATTTAATAAAATTGAAAAGAAACCTAATAATTTTTTATTTGTTTGTCTAATTAAACTCAAAAAAAAGTATTGGATTCCGAATTTAAGAAGTTCAACGATTTTGTGCTGAAGCAGTGGGAAAGGGCAGCTTAAAATAATTTACTTTGTCCAGCACTTCAAAATTTAAAGCTGAGATTAAGCAATATCTACTTATAAAAATGTGAGACACGCACTAAACAGAACAAAAAACGTTCAACTTTTATATTTCCACGAATATCTGCCGCTATAATTAATTCTCCAATAGGACTTTTATCTTCCGTTAAAAAAGCTAAACATAATTAAATTTATTATAAATAAATAAATAAAAATCTCTACTAAACCAGGGTACGTAGAGTGAGGAGCAAACAACGCCACCGTCACCGTTTCGTCGTGAGCTGCATTGAGCATCGCATTATCGAAAAAAAACAAATTATAAAAAATCTATAAACCATTATAAGCCTCGAAGTACTCACAAACACGCTTTGAGTGCTGGATCACATCTTTCATAGTACTCGCCTTCGGAGTTTTTAGGCTCCAGATGTAGAAATTATTATTCTCAGAACCGCAGATGACGTACGAAGCGTCCTGACTAGCAGAAAAATAACAAAAACATAATAAGTATAATTAGTAAAAAAAATATAAAATTAAAAAAAGAAGTAAAAAAAAACATTAAGTACAAAAAATTAGTTTAATTAAATTTCTTACAATTATAAAAAAAGTAAATTAAAGTAATTTACTTAAAGAAAATATATAATATATAATTCTCATAATTATTGAAGCAATTAATAAATTAATGCGTTCAAAAAAAACTGTACTTCAAACTTGCACGAATTTGGGAAGAATTGTGGACAGCCCCTTTAAATTTGTAAAGTAACGAAAAATCATTTAAATCGTACATCCGAATTCTCGAATCGTTAGAAGTCACTAAAATCTGCAAAAAAAGAATTTTATAAAAGAAGAGAAGAAGGTGCGTTTCCTCATAACTTTGTTAGTCCCTTCGATGGGAACAATAGCAGAAATTTTCTTTCCTCTTTTCTTGTTGGATCGTTTTATAAAAATTTGCGTGTGATACTGCAATCCCTGAAAAAAAATTTAAAAAGTTTTTAAAAATTAGATTCAATTTATATATATTTTTCTGTTTTATTATTATTACTTTGAAAATTTGATAAAAAATTAAAATTTTAAAACAAGCTTGCTACCAACCTCACTATTATAGAAAAGACAGCGGCCTTCGTATGTCCCCACCGCAATCATTCTCCCATCTTTTCAATAATTTACAGACATTAGTGTAAGACATGTTCAAACATAATTTTTAAAGGAATGATGAAAAATTTTAAATTTTTGTAGAAAAAATTGTTTGTGACAAAAGAACCTTTACAAAAGGACGTAGCTGTAAGCACGCCGTAACCTAGCGTATTAAAAAAATACATAGTTATAAATAATTCTTAAGCCAGTCATATTGTAACAAATCACTCGAGTCGATTTCGTTGGAAACGGAAACGCGTTTGTGAGGAATATACCACAATCGCAATTTGCAGTCCATCGAAGCACTCACGAAATATCTATAATAAAACTTTTATTAATTCAAAAGTGTCCTGGATTTATAAACTGGCCTATCATCGCTGGGATGGAAAGCCACGGCTGTGACCAAGTCTGAATGGCGGAAGCAGCAAAGGCAGGTAGACGCTTAAAAAAAAAATTAGTAATTTACTATAATAAAGAGATTAAAAAAAAAATTCCACGTTGACTGATGTGCCATAATCGCACTGTTTTATCGAGAGAAACAGACAAGAGGAAGTAATTCTGCCAGCCGGAAAGGGAAAGTAGTCAGGCGCGTGCGGGGAGTAAATTTTAAACTAACCCGCGACCAGCAAATGTCCAGTATGTCCATCTCGTGACCTGAAAAAGTTAAAAATGGTTTTGAACAAAAGATGGGTGCTAAATCCAAGCCGACATTAACAATACCTGCGAATTTGAATTTTATATAAAAAAAATTATAATAAAATTATAGTTATTTTTATAATTAAAATTATTACTTCTGCGGTTGAGGCTCTTTATATCAAAAGTGGAGCTCGAAACTAGTGGAGCTGCTATTAAGTTAAACTAATAAGCATACTAAAAAAAAATTTACGAATTGGTTGAACACTAAATTTGGAACAACGTAGATACCTGCAAGAGTTGAAGAGTAGCGAGAAGCGGTAAAAGGATGGACAGACTGACCATAGGAAGAAGAAAAACAGCTCATACGATCGCTCTCATCGTTGAAAAGGTGGTTAGAGAGTTTATTTCTCATTTTAATAAAGAAATTTTCTCTTCCGTTAACAGTCCAAACGTATAAGTTTGAGTCCTTATAAAGATCGTAATAAAAAGTTTTGTATTCTTTAATTAAAATATGAACTTACTATAAAAACTATTTTATAGTAAAAAAGAGTAACGGGAACTGGTAAAAACACTAAGGAAGGAGCTGAGATTAAGGCTAAAATCATTTTATATAGAGTCACTCTGTTGATACTACTGTTAAACAGAAGAAACGTAGGAAGGCCTAGATGTGTTTAATAAATAAATGAATCTTAAATTCCTCGTTACTAAAAAAAAGATTAGTTGACTGTGGCCTTTAAATAGTTTTTTAATAAATTTCAAATAATACTAATTTCTAATAAAAAGAAAAAGTGAAGGATGCGCTTCTTGAATTTATACAGTGCAAACGAACTAACCTGACCAGCAGAGCAAAAAAGGCGACCGCAATGGCTAAACTTTATGCACCATACAGCACCTACACTTCCACAATGTAACTGTTGAACTAACGTCAAGCCCAGGAAATTACCAGGCCCTTTTTGTATTATCTAAAAATAACAGAATACTTTATTATGTTGATATGACTATGGAAAAAATAAGACTTGCTTGAACACCAGTTTGTTGCGATTTATTCTTGTTCGATTTTCTAAACAATTGTCTTAATAAATTATTTTTACGGTGATACTTAGAATCTACAAAGGTTTTATTACTGGAAGCGGCGAACGCCTCAAAACTATTTTTTGAAAGTAAATTTGTTAACGGTGATTCATTTTTTTCTTTAAAGACTTGACTTCTGCTATCTAAATCTTTATTAAAATTAATTAATAGTTAAGTCTTCATCTCTACCTGCTATAGATATATAAGTATTTAAAATATGGCAATAAATTTCAAGTTTGTCACTTTAACAAAAAGTAACTTGTTTTCAAAGTATTTTGTTCGTGGACATCCACCTCTGCGCAATGTTTAGTTTCCAAAGTGGAACCCTATAAATTTTGTAAATGATAATAATTTACAGCCACTCTTTATAAAAAATAATTTAAGAGAACTGCAACCTCAATGTTTACGCTTAAACCCTTTAGCCCTGTAGATTGAGCTTGTGAAATGGATACTTGTTCAAAAGTATCGTAAAATTTTTCTTCACTATCCGCGGCAGAAAAAGAAGAATGGCGTCTGGGCCATTCCATACCTCCATAAGAAATCTTATTTAGTACAGAAAATCTGCACAACCTTAACTAAAGAAAAGAGTAGCCCACAAAAACCCTTAGAAGTGGTGGACTTATAACAAGTGGCGACTGTAGGGCTTGCTTATAATACCTCCTCTTCCTAATAAAAGTTATTATATACATAAAACTTATTTTTTCGGCTTAACTCTATAATAGAGTTGTAACCACTACCTTTTTTACACCAGTTTTATGTACTTGGTGAATCACAGTGGTAGTTACCTACAAGAGGTATCGAACAACTGCAGAAAACTAAATTAGTGGCCTTGCGAATTAATATTATATATACTAAATAAAAATACTTTAAAAATTAATTGTCGCAGACCTTCATAATAGCTATGTTATTCATATTTTACAAAAAGAATAGAGTTCTTAAACCTCTTCTCTAATACTATATATATAAGACGTTGACAAAAAAGTACTATTGGAAGAATGACTTCTCTTTATTCCAAATTTAACATTAGTACAAGTACAAATACTTTTCATAGTGAAATGCTTTTTTATATAGATATAAGGCTAAGTTACTTTTATTAAAATAACAATGAACTTAAGGGGGCAACTAAAGTGAAAAGCTTTAGTAGTAACTGCTTCCTCCGGGTAGTTGACTTGACAGTAATGTAAAAAAAGCTGATAATAAATAAATGTTTAGAACTTGGTACACCGACCCCCGGTACATGCGAGTGCGTACTCCGGAAAGTTATAAGTTGCGTGCGCGCAATTCGAAAAAACTACTTTTGAAATTGGCATACACGTACAACTTATTTCTAACCGGAAAAAATTAAATATAAACTTCATTAGGAAGTAATTTTAGATTTTTTCAAGTGAGTTATGAGCTTTTTCGATGGTGTTGATGCGCGAACAACATGTTTCGTTTGCTCACTGTACCTACTTTACCTTTTATCTTCCCTTCCCTGCGAGCCCAACCACTACAGCTGAGGTATAACACTAGTCTAACCGACTTTAAATCATGGCCGATTATTAGCCTAGATCGCTTTGGCCACATGGCAATGAAGAATACCGCAAGACAAGAGTTTAAGATACTAAGGTGCTAAAAAGAGTGACGGTGAATGCGCAGCATTTTAAGGACAATTCAGTTAAAGGCGTGTTCTTTCTTTCTTCCAAAACAGTCGAACAGAAGTACTACGCGGTACGAGTTTGAATTAAATATAAGCAAGAAACTAGCAAAATTCTCAATGAGGTTTTAAAATCAATTGCCAGCATAGGCCACAATCCTGTAAATATTGCAACCATTTAGCTTAAGTTTTTCTGAACATAATTTTCTCTTCGTCACTAATTTTATTTCTTTATTAGTTAGGAGAACGTGAAATAAAGGGGCTGTCTCACTGGAGGTTTTACCGACCGAACCTAGTGCTCAATCAGGTCAACACTAATAGTTTTACAGTTCTCAGATAGGTATATAGAGAATACTAAAATATTTCTTATGGTTAAGTTTTTTTTTTTTATCTTTTAGCCCAAACTCTACCCTATGTGTTAAAAACCTACATATACATGATGTGGGGGTGATAGATTCCGCGATTTGTAAGTGAGTTTGCTTGCTAGTAAGCGATTAGTGTGTTCAGTTAGATTGCATAAATGGTTAATAGTGCGTACGTTGAAAAGACATTATAGCGGTTTATCTAGATCTCGATGTAGAGCATTCGTTTCGCTCTAAGAAAGGCGCACTCGTAATAACGCATAGCAGCTTAATTTCTCACGAATCAAAGGCTTAGGCAGAAGGCATGTATATTTTGATTGACCGAATACATGATATATACAGGCACCGCTTATTCGCGCAACGAGCGTTTATTCACGGCGCAGAGTAGAAAATACAACCCTTTAAAATTACCACCCTGATCTTAGCCGCTACTTATATGCATGCGGCCGCCAGGATATCTTATAATTTTTAATGACCCCGATGTATTTCGTTTAAAAACACCTAAAAATTACCACATCGCTAAAAAACAACGGCAGCAGAAGTGCAGTGCGTTGCATGATTATAAAAATGGCTAAACTTTTACTGCATCTCAAAGAGAATTACCCATCGTTAATACCAACCCACTGCAAATGCTAGCACAGTAGGACGGCCGGCTTTGACTTACAGTAAATCGCCATCTTCACACAAGGCCCTCTACACATGTGGGGGTTATCCAGGTTGTGGTCCACCACACATTAAGCACGAAGTGCAAAAAAATAGGAAAAACCTCTTGGTTTTTCCGTTTTATATAGAAAGCTTAGGTGGCAAATTCCTTCAAACCTTTTACATCAGAATACTCAGCCTATCATCTTCTTGGGAATGTTAGGACTCGTTGTTAAAACCTCGCAACGTTTCTCAAGCTAATCAGTAGGCGCGTATTTGTGTAGATGGGATAACAAAAATGATAAAAATATTGGAAGGTGCCAAATTACTACGAACGTAGAACTAGAGCGTAACAAAGGTACTGAAAGGAGAATATTAATTTGAAAATTTAGAGCTAGTAGCTATCGTTGCAAGAAAAGAAGCTAAGATCGCAAAAACTTTAAATATGTAAAGATGGCACTACAGTATAAAGTATAGCAAAATCCGATTTGTGAGAGAAAAGAAGTTTAACTTATATTATAACCCGTAAAGAAAGGAGAAAATTAATTGATGGCTCATAATAACCAAAAAAAGCTAGCATTTGATCATGAACATTTGAAGACGACAAAAGATTTAAACTCACGCATAATAATATTTAGGTTAAATGGGTCAATTTACTAAGGAAAATATTCGACTGTCACCACACTCGGTGCCTTACTAAATGGTTTCCTTTTCCTAGTATTGAACTCCATTTTTTTGGCGTGATGAAAAGTATAACAGGTTATAAGCCTATGTATTCCGGTTCAAAAAAAAAAATTGTATGAAACTATGGAACTAATCATTTAAAAATTGAATGAAGATGAAGAACATTAAACAAGTTAAAAAGAAAGCTCTTTGGATATTGACACCTAAGTCGATGGGCAAACATACTTTTATCTAATATACTTTTTCGTTCTACTGACGAGCTAAGTAGCATTTCTAGAGTGTTAGCTAGTTTTGTTCTACTAAAGTGGAACGAAAAAAGGTTCTACTTTAATAGAACAGGATAGTTAGCTATCATTACTAGTTCCAGTTAGTTCCTTCTACTAAAGTGGAACTATTTTCAAGGCAAAACAACCTTTTGTTGATCGGGCTGTAGATAGCTGCGTACTCCTCTTCTATCTAGTTGAGCAAGAAATTAGCTAATTTAAGGGAGATGCGATAATTCTCTTGTCATTGGTTTTTGATGCTAATGTACTAGCAGAAATCTAGTCTAATATCCGGATTATTATTGAGCTCTTAGGTTTATACTGTCATGGTGAGTGGTGGCCAATTTAATTGTCTAATAAAAATAGTTAAGATAGCTCTGGATATACTGTATTTTATCTCACACAACTCTGAAGCTTCCATACACGAGGGACAAGGAACAACCCTATTCGGTCTTTTATCTCTGTGGGGAGGGGTTAGACATAAACTGGTACTACTCATTAAGGTGCTTCGTTTAAAAAAAAAAAATACTAAAATTGTATCGAGATCTCAGGTAGCAGTGCTAATTGATCGAGTAATTGACTTTAATAATTAATACCAGGTTAACGACTGACTTTCAGGAAGTTCCATGATTTAAACGCTTACTTGACGAGATAAAAAAAACTAGTTTTTAATTGGTCAAAGTTATATAGAAGTACCACTAGTGCTTAAGGCAATCTGGGAAAGTGCATGGTTATAAGCCATGTAGCATTTTAAAAAGTTTCTTACTAGTGCTGTCGTAGTACGAAGCAATAACAATTAAGCAAGATAACATAAGCATCATTTGACGAATTGGAAAATGGTTATACTAGAGATTTCATCTCCGTACAAGTACTAGAATTGAAGTCACGTGTAGGAGTTATCTATTCTCATATGAAACAAAGCAGTCAACTAATCCATTAACTAAATCCTTGAACTAATCTTAGTGTACTTTTAAGCTATACGAGTATTACCTGTAGTTTAAAGCTGAGTGAAATCTAAATAATATAGTTAAACTGGGAATATCCAAAAGACGGCAACCCTTCCAGCAGAGCTCAACTCAGGAAGGTGAATATAACGGAAGGCAACAAATCTATTTCCTATATTGAATATCTAAGCTACTGTATAAGAGCACTAAATAGGACAATTTTAGTAATATTTTCCCCTGGCATTAGCTTAAGCAAAACATGAAGGTTTGAATGCTTGTATAGCAGCCCCTGGGTTAGATCTTCGTCTCTTATCTTGACTTTTCCTCTTACGAGGGCGGCTGTCTTAGTTCTGGTTAAATTTATCTTCAAAAGAATAGCTCTTGGACTTTTGTTCTAGTTTTCTTTGACTCTCGTACACAAATTACGATTGTTGAAAGTTTTCAAAAGTTCAGGGCTATTTACCAGTACTTATTTGATTTTTCTTTTGATTTTCTTCTATTTTAGTGCTTGTAGATTAATTAAGCATTAAAATAATGTATAAGAGGTACGATATTAGTTTTGTTTCTCGTTTCTCACGCATGTTCCTGAGTCTTTTTTTAACATCATTATCCCTTCTTTGCGCGAAGACTCGTAAGGAAACATTTTAATGCTCTGTGACCGCTGCGACAGGCTATCATTTCGGCCATAGTTTAAAGAAAGGTAGCACGTTATACCTCAGCTGTGAACGCTGATGCCTTTAGTGGAGGCATTGAGGCCTTCCGTTTTGGTGCCTTCGACGGTTAGCTATATTTAGGACCTTTTGTTCACTAATGTACACTATTCCTATACGCAGGGATTTCTGTATCGTCCCCGGGTTCACGTCACATAAGCAGCCAAAAAAGTTCGGTCCTATATACGGGCGTCTCGCCTTGAGGTTAAACCAGGCAGCTTATTGTAAGTTTCGATCTATGGAAACTACTGGATTGCCCATTTGGAAGTGAACTGTATTCATGATACAGGTTCCTCTCCCTTTGGTCATGTCGCCCTCTACGACTAAAAAGGCATTAC